GCTCATTTATTAAATGGCAGGTGACTTCATGATCAATTTAGATGCTAACCTCAATTTTTTTGTATAACACATCTGCTGTAACCTCTGTCAGGAAAAACTGTTCATGAAAAACAGGTATTGAGTCATTTAATCCCTGTCCGGTTTCCATAAGCAAACTGTAACCTCATTCTACAAATAGCCAGGGGGAGAATCAGCTCTGTTCCCATAGTGACAGCTCACTGTATTTGCTATCTTTACAAGGTGGAACACATGTGAGGTTTGGAAATGATAAATCAGACATATCAAAAGTGACTACCTAAGGTGACTATTTCTATAGAAGAACTAACATTATTTTTAGAATTCCCTATGAAAAGAAAATAGAGGCTAGACTATACCTGTGGTCTCAGCTACTGGGGAGTCTGAGGCTGAAGGATCCCTCAAGCCCAGGAGATTGAGGCTGCAGTGAGCTACGATAGCACCACTGCTCTCCAGCCCAGGTGACAAAATAAGACTCTGTCTCTTAAAAAAAGAAACGAATGCTCTGTATGGTTTCCATTAATCTTAAACCACAAGACCCTGCCTGCATTTACACTGTATGCTTCTATCAGCCACACAGAGAGCAAATGCCCCACTAAGTTGGTGATCAGGCTTTTGGCGACCACAACTCTGCAACAAAAGCTATTGCAATGGTTAATACTGAGTGTCAACTCGATTGGATTGAGGATAAAAAGTATTGATCCTGGGCATGTCTGTGAGGGTGTTGCCAAAGGAGATTTAACGTTTGAGTCAGTGGGCTGAGAAAGGCAGGCCCACCCTTAATCTAGGTGGGTACAATCTAATCAGCTGCCAGCTTGACCAGAATAAAAAGCAGTCAGATGGCTGGGAGCAGTGGCTCATGCCTGTAATCCCAGCACTTTGGGAGGCTGAGGCGGGCGGATTGCCTGAGCTCAGGAGTTCGAGATCACCCTGGGCAACATGATGAAACCCAGTCTCTACTAAAATACAAAAAATTAACCAGGCCTGGTGGCATGCGCCTGTAGTCCCAGCTACTAGGGAGGCTAAGGCATGAGAATCGCTTGAGCCCAGGGGGCGGAGGTTGCAGTGAGCCAAGATTGAGCCACTGCTCTCCAGCTTGGACTACAGAGTGAGACTCCATCTTAAAAAAAAAAAAAAAAAAAAGCAGGCAGAAGAACGTGAACAGACTAGACTGACTTAGCCTCCCAATCTACATTTTTCTCCCATGCTGGAGCTTCCTACCCTAGAACATTGGACTTCAAGTTCTTCAGCTTTGGGCTTCCTTGGTCCTCAGCTTGCAGATGGCCTCTTGTGGGACCTTATGATTGTGTGAGTTAATAGTCCTTAATCAACTCCCCTTTATATATATCTATCCTATTAGTTCTGTCCCTCTGGAGAACCCTGACTAATACAGCTATGAAACTGGAGGTAAAGGGAATCATCTAAAAAAGTGGAAAGAGGAGTCACAAAGGCTGTCTTCTTCTGTAAAACAGAAACTGGGCCCTAGCTAAAAACAAGTTACTCACCAAACACCCATGCATTCATTCAAACCTACAGGTCGTACTATACGATTCCTACTTTCTCACAGTCTGTGGGAGAAGGAGAAGCAGAAGCACACGATGCTGACCACAATGCTGGGTTCTAAGGGTCAGGGCACTGCAGAGCCCACACCTAACCACAGAGGGGCAGCAGCTTGCTCTGCTTAAGATCAGAAGCGATGACCTTCAAGATGGGCCTTTAACAATGAGGACACGCATCACCAAAGATGCAAAAGCGGCCAGGCGTGGTGGCTCAAGCCTGTAATCCCAGCACTTTGGGAAGCCGAGATGGGCGGGTCACGAGGTCTGGAGATCGAGACCATCCTGGCTAACACGGTGAAACCCCGTCTCTACTAAAAATACAACAAAAAGAAAAGATGCAAAAGCAGACCTGTGAATGGCAAGATTCTGGGATGCACTGGGTTTTCTAAGCAAAATAAACATTTGAGGCAGAAAAAAAAAAGTACCAGTAGGGTTCAGAGTCCATTTTTAGAGCACTGTTTGACCCCACCTACCCCATTTCTAGCTCACAGCTTTTTAAAATCTTGAACAACAATAATCATGAAGTAAGCAGAAAAAAGTTTTATTCTCACAATAGAACAGCAGCTGGACAAACAGGCTTTCAAGTTAGGCAGACATGATTTCGAATCTCGGCTCCTCCGCTGCCTATCTGTGTATTCTTGGTAAGTTTGTTCACTTTTTTTTTTGGAGATGGCGTCTCACTCTGTCGCCCAGGCTGGAGTGCAGTGGCACAATCTCGGCTCACTGCAGCCTCCGCCTCCCAGGTTCAAGCAATTATCTGCCTCAATATCCCGAGTAGCTGGGATTACAGGCGCCCGCCACCATGCCTGGTTAAATTTTTGTATTTTTAGTAGAGAGAGGGTTTCACCATCTTGGCCAGGCTGGTCTCGACTCCTGACCTCATGATCCACCCGCCTCAGCCTCCCACAATGCTGAGATTACAGGCGTGAGCCACCACGCCCAGCCGTTAGTTCACTTTTGAGCCTGTTTCCTGTCTAAAAATAATCCTACTATCTCTGAGGTAGGTTGTGATGATTCCATGAAATAATGGTAAAGCAATCGGCTCAGTTCAACAAATTATGATGCTTCTAAATAAAGGAATCAGGAAAGAACCTAGGTGGTGGGTCAGTATTTACCTTTCCCAAGTCAATCTAGTCGCTGCTGTCTCGATTTTAGAATGAAAAAGCAAATTTTTCTGTAGTACTACAACTAAAATTATTTTTTTTAAATAGCATTTCTGCCAAATACTGTAGCTCTGTAATATATTTCTAACACAGTTGATCAATAGTTTGACTTAACTATAGAAAGCAACTAAGTGAAATTTTATAGAATTCTTGGAGATGATACAATAAGAGAGTAACAGAGCCCAATGAATTAATCGGTCTTCATTAAACTAAGGTTGCTTCTAAGTTACTTTAAACGGGTGGCTCACTCCACTCTTTTGAAATATATATACCATGGAAAGAATGATCTGTATCTTTCTTGGTAATCAATATTTTTCACAATCTCCATCATGAAAGCCTATCACATTTTAGTTCACACACACATTATTTCTCCTTCTGAGTTACATACAGGAAACTACCACTGGCATAAGAATCCATCCCATTCTTTAAAAGGAAGTCACTTGTTGGCCGTTCCTGTAGGCATTATTTTCTAACACTCTGCAAAGTACCTGATTTTTACATTTTTTAGTCACAAAACCTTTTCAGTAGGAAGCTAATTGAAATCTCTACTGCAAAAGAGAACAGAGCTGCTAGGATGGAGAGGAGCCCAAGACGGGCAAAGAAACTGTGGGAAATTCTAAACAAGGAAGCATGATGTCTCCTGAATTCCTTCTGGTTCTGAGTGACAGAGACAAGAACTGTAATCATCAGTCCAGTCAAGGGCCACAGCATTAAGATAAGAGGATGATCTCTGTGTGTTCCTCCTATTTATGGAACCCACTCTCTCTACCAGAGGTGTTCAATGAAACGATAGGAGATGGCAATAGACTCAGCACTTAGCCAACATCCTTCTCCTTCCAAGTCCCTGTGGACACACTGATGCTGGAGATGCCAAATGCTGTAGGTGTTTTAGCTTGTGCCAGGAAAAAAGAACCTCTGCTGGTTAATGGGCTTCCATGCTTCATGAACTCCAAGTTTCTCACAAACTCATCAAAGGGGAGTGCAGTGACCCTAGTTAAGTCAACACACTGATTCTTTCCTTGGCCCCCATCAGAAGATGACATCTCTTGACACTAGTCGCCAAATGATGCTGAACGAATTACTATCATCTTTGTGCTTCCGTTTCCCCTTTTACAAATAGGGATAATAATAGTGCTATCGCTTAGAATTGTGGCAGGGACTGCGATGATAGCTAGCACTTATTTGTGCCTGTCACATAGCAAGAGCCCAAAACTGTTAGCTACTATCACCAACAGCATCATCATCATCTTAGAGCCTGGAGAGACGTGGCATTTCCTTCACAAAATAAGAAAATTGTGGAGAGCAACAATGAAGATTTTAAAGTCTAAAATTAACTCTCCAAAAAGTGCTTTCACCACGAATTGCACCATGTCAATGGGTACTCAGTACAATTACCCCAAACTAATCCTAATCCCAAGTAAGAATTAATGTTTGGAACATATAATGGGGGAAAAAAATTTTCCCCTTGGAGTATAAAGCAACAATGAATGACTACACAGCAAAAGTCTCCTAAAAATGTAATTTTAAGCTGCTGCTCCGAAGTCAGATGTGACTTACAATTCAGCACTTTGATTCAACTGTTAGAGAAGAATAAAAGGCAGAATACAGCTTCCTTTAAAATCAGTTTTGTTGCCATGTTTAATCAACTTCTCTGTAAGAAACCTCTGAAATTTAAATATAGAAGCAAATAGGTTGTGGTTTGCTTATAGTTCATGCCAGTTGTAACATATATTCTATATTTACCAATGCACACAAGTGCACATGTATGCACAGTTCCATTAGAAAAGGCTTAAGCATGCTTTTTAATTTAAACAAAAGCAGAGTTCTATTTAAAATCAGCTGCCAACACTCACACCAAATCTATATTCTTGGAATCTGTTTCTTCAAAATCAATTTTGATGAAAGTGAAAAAAAATCTTCAGGGAAAAATAATTTTGTAATCCAAGTAGTAGTAGGGAGAACATACTGTCCCCTTCCATTTAAATGTTGAGCTACAAGATTGTCTAATAAAGATCGTATTTTCTACTTGCTTGCAAGTTCCAGTGTTTTGTGTGTTTTTTAAAGGACCTCTCAAATCTCTCCTACCCTAAATCCTACAGCAGCACGTTTGAAAACAAGGAGACACATAGCACAGGTAACTTGGAATTCCGTTTGGAATGACCCCACCACACTGAGCAGACCTCTGAGTGGCCTCTGAGCACACTGCCAACAGCAGCAGCACTCAGCATGGCAGAGCTGGAACCCCCCGCCAAAGGACACTGACCTTTTGATGACTTGTGACTTCGTCCCGGCTTCTCCCCAGCTCCTCAGCAAGTTTAACGTTCTCTTCTTGCAATGCTGAAAGCTGCTGGGACTTCTGAGCTGCTGCCTGCTTTAGGGTTTCTCTGCAAGGACAGTGAGTGCAGGGTTACCATAGAAACAAGACAGGCAAGGAAACTGTGGGAGACAACCAGCTTCACAGCACTGAAGAAAATATATCTGGGTCACGTGCCTGATAGGATCTATAATAACAGCAGACAGTATTATCTACATGCAGAAGGGGCTAAATGGCCACAACCTCCCAAAAGGAGGACTGCCACCCACAATTATTACATTTTTCAGAACCTAATAAACCCTATGGCCACCCTCCCACCACCCACTTACTCCATAAAAAACGAATTTTGCTATAAAATAAATGACAAATGAGATAGTCAGTACAGCCCTCCTATCTTTAGGAATATTTCCGTTAGATGATTTTACTAAAACCCACTTCGTTGATAAAGTGATTTAATTTGCTGCCAAGGCACTCTGTTCTAACTGCACAGATCTATGATTTATTTTTTTTTTCTGGAAGAAATACAAATCCAATGGTCCCATTTACCAGTGTATCTGTCAGAGTCAAGTGCTGATGTAAATCTGAGTATATTTTTAGGACAACCAGAGGCGGAATGCCCAAAGGAAATACAGTTTCCCAATTACATAACAGGTGTTTTATTTTGATAGTAGTCTTTCCAAATGCTAATTTATAATTGAAAGAAGCAAATAAAAATATAATACAGACTACTAACTTATACCATGAATATCAGCATAAAAAAATGAACCGGATAGGTATATTTATTAAACATCTTCTTGTTCTTAAAATAATCCAAAACATAGATCCTAAACATTATCCTTTATACATGAATATGCACAATATTTGAGCACTAAATCTTAGTTTTATGTTATAGAGGGTTTTGATGGAATTGTGAATTTTAAGTACATCTGTGTTGGTTAAACTCCGTTTAGCAAGCTGTCATACATGGCTGAATTCTCAATCAAGTCATCTGGGTATGAATCCATCTGCTGATGCATGAACACATCTATTTTTAACTTCAATTGTCTAATGGGTGGCAGTTCTCGGCACATTCGATTTTCTCAATTTTTATTTCTCCATCCACCTATAATATGCACACTGGGATGACCTCAGGAAGACTTAGGGAAATAAATCTACACAAAAATTCTCTTAGCACACTAAATTAGGCTTTTTACAGAGATGTTTATTTAGCAATTGAAGATAAACTGAGAAGGAATTTTAGCCTCAGCTAGTCACTCACGAAAGAGACTCATATATATGAATCTCTATATATATGTATATATGTATGTACATACACATACACACACATCACAGCGAAAGTTCATCTGTCCAAAGTCCATCAATCTTTGACAAATCAGATTTCCTTATGGTAAAATCACCATAAGCCAAATGTATTTCCCAGGTGGTCACTGCCTTCATGAGTGGCTACATGGTGTCTGCATGTGTGTGGCCTGTCAAAGTGCTACGCTTATACTCCTGTTCCTTCCTCTCTCAAGCCTACAGGAAGGAAAATTATAACAATGCATCAAGGAAGTAATCTAAAAGTGGCCAAAGTGTCCTAAAGAATTGACCTATAAAAACAAAATTATTGGGTTTTTTTTTGTTATTGTTGTTTTGAGACGGAGTCTTGCTCTGTCACCAGGCTGGAGTGCAGTGGCGCGATCTCAGCTCACTGCAAGCTCTGCCTCCCGGGTTCACGCCATTCTCCTGCCTCAGCCTCCTGAGTAACTGGGACTACAGGCATGTGCCACTGTGCCCAGTCAATTTTTGTATTTTTAGTAGAGACGGGGTTTCATCATGTTGGCCAGGATGGTCTGGATCTCTTGACCTCATGATCCACCCACCTCGGCCTCCCAAAGTGCTGGGATTACAAGTGTGAGCCACCACGCCCGGCCAAAATTATTGTTTTAAAATTTACAAAATGCTTCCATTTTCTCATTTAATCCTCAAAGCCCAAGGAAGTTAATGTTATTTATGTTTTTTTTTTTTTTTTTTTTGAGGCGGAGTCTCGCTCTGTCGCCCAGGCTGGAGTGCAGTGGCGCGATCTCGGCTCACTGCAAGCTCCGCCTCCCGGGTTCACGCCATTCTCCTGCCTCAGCCTCCTGAGTAGCTGGGACTACAGGCGCCGCCACCACGCCCGGCTAATTTTTTTTTTGTATTTTTAGTGGAGACGGGGTTTCATTGTGTTAGCCAGGATGGTCTCGATCTCCTGACCTCGTGATCTGCCCGTCTCGCCCTCCCAAAGTGCTGGGATTACAGGCTTGAGCCACCGCGCCCGGCCTATTTATGTTTTAATGAGAAGATTGAAGCTCCGGGAAGTAAACAGATTTGCCCCAAATCATAAAGCCAGTGCGCAGCAAAACCACAAGAACAGGAGCTGCAGTTGGCAGATGACTTCAGTCGTGACTCAGACCTAGAGCACTTCGTTTTTTCTTTAGTGGGTAGCGGGTGAATCCATTTCAGAGAGGAAAGAGGCTCCAATAACCCAAATTCTGGAAATACTCAAGGAATGATTCTCAAAATAGCTACAAAAATATTTCTACTGGTTTTTAAAGAAGCTACTTTTCTTTCTACATGACAAGATATCTTGACGCAGAAAAGACTAGGTTTAAAACTAAAGACAAACATTGTTAATATTGACATGCAAACATTTTACTTATGAATCCATCATAAATCTATTATCATGCTAAATGTATTGTACATTTACTACTGTGCTAGGTGAGTAAAGACAAAAATTAGATTGCTTATACCTTTTTTTCCCTAAGATCCAAAATTATACACAAGAAACTGTTTCATTGTTGATTTACAACTGAAAATAGGAGCTGGCTAACCAAAATCAAGCAAGAGCTTTCCTAAAAGCAGACTTGTAAGTGGCACACAGGAAAAGAACATTCAGTTACAAGTGCTGGTTTCCAGGGGCAAGGGTGATATTCTAGAGGGAGTGGTTCCTATTAGAACCCCTGTGGTGGTTGAGCGCAGTGGCTCAAGCCTGTAATCCCAGCACTTTGGGAGGCTGAGGCAGGCAGATCACTTGAGGCCAGGAGTTCAAGACCAGCCTGGCCAACATGGCAAAACCCCATTGCTACTAAAAATACAAAAATTAGCTGGGTGTGGTGCATGCCTGTGATCCCAGCTACTTGGGAGGCTGAAGTGGCATGATGAATTGAACCCGGGAGGTGGAGGCTGCAGTGAGCTGAGACTGCTGCCACTGTCCTCTAGCTTGGGCAACAGAGTGAGACCCTGTCTCCAAAAAAAGAAAAAAAAAAAGAAACCCTGTGTCTATATTGGTCCCCTTTTTCTCCAGTAACCACAGTCCTATTAGGTGAAGAGAAACACCAAAAAAGCTCCAGAGGACACGCAAAACCCCACACACATTAAACCATGGAAGAAGTAAGTGGCTGCTCATTCTCCAGCTTTGAGCTCTGAGGAATAAGACTAAGGAGGAGCCAAGTGACTGCTTTGTTTTGAGAAGCACTGTTCCCATTACACAGTCCTCTTACAGCAGAAGGCCCTGGAAACTGGACCAGGGGGCCACTGGTCATCAGGGGCAGGGGTTTTTTCAACCTACTCCCCATACCTCCTGCGCTGGCTTCCATGGAACGCTACCAGCGTGTCTCCCACCGTTCCTCCCTCCCGTTAACAGTCCCAGGCATATTGTGCCAAGTCACTAACAGGAAGATGTGATTCCCTCAGGTCTGTTGGGGCAGAAAAAAGGTAGAAAATCCAAAGCAGCCCAGGCTCTTTCTGCTCTGGGATCCGGTTCTTCCCTACCCGAATGTGTTCAGGGATCAGAGGTCTGGGGAGTGCAGCACCAGGAACAGCTCAGCACAGGCTGGGGCTAGCATGACAGCAGCTGGAGCCACGATCTCAGCTAAGCTTTTATTAGCCAATGGAATAATTCGAAGGAGGAGGTCACAAAAACAACTTATGTCACCCGGCCAGGCACGGTGGCTCATGCTTGTAATCCCAGCACTTTGGGAGGCCGAGGAGGGCAGATCACCTGAGGTTGGTAGTTCAAGACCAGCCTGATCAACATGGAGAAACCCCGTCTCTACTAAAAATACAAAATTAGCTGGGCATTGTGGTGCGTGCCTGTAATTCCAGCTATGGAGGCAGGAGAATCACTTGAACCCAGGAGGCAGAAGTTACGGTGAGCCAAGATCATGCCACTGCACTCCATCCTGGACAACAAGAGCAAAACTTCATTTCAAAAAAACAAAAACAAAAACACCACCACCAAAAAACTATTTGTCTTCATAAAGGTGAAATCAGCGCCACACTGAGGGTAGGTGACATGACAGGATTCAGTGAGGACTCTGAACATTAAAGGGTGATCTCACTGGAATACTAGTAATGACCACAACAAAAGACTCCTAAGACCTGGGTGCAGTGGCTCCCGCCTGTAATCCCAGCACTTTGGGAGGTCAAGGCGGGCAGATCATTTGAGGCCAGAAGTTCAAGACCAGCCTGGCCAACATGGTGAAACCCCATCTCTACTAAAAATACAAAAAAATGGCCAAGCGCAGTGGATCACGGCTGTAATTCCAGCACTTTGGGAGGCTGAGGTGGGCAGATTACAAGGTCAGGCGTTCGAGTACAGCCTGGCCAAAAGGATGAAACCGTTTCTACTAAAAATAGGAAAAGTAGATGGGCATGGTGACAGGCACCTGTAATCCCAGCTACTCAGGAGGCTGAGGCAGGAGAATCGCTCGAACCCGGGAGGCAGAGGTTGCAGTGAGCCGAGATTGCACCACTGCACTCTAGACTGGGCTAAAGGGTGAGACTCCATCTCAAAAAAAAAAAAAAAAAAGTACAAAAAAATTAGCCGGGCCTGGTGGCACACGCCTGTAATCCCAGCTACTTGGGAGGCTGAAGCACGAAAATTGCTTGAACCCAGGAGGCAGACATCATGGTGAGCAGAGATCACACCACTACACTCCAGTCTGGGGAACAGAGTGAGACTCTCTCTGAGAAGCAAACAAACAAACAAATAAAAACAACAAAGGACTCGTAAGTAGTACTGCAGGAAAGTGGAATTTTATCTAAACCCCACGAACCCTCTTGGCCAGGTCCACTTGGCCCTGCCCCTCCAACACCTAGTAGGACCCAGGGAGTTCGATGGTGGGATTATGGCAGCGGAGGCTGGAGAGGGAGTCTCCCATGGCAGTTCACACACTCCCTTATCAGCTGCCCGTGGGACACATTGCAGGAATTCAACCTGATGCCCCAAAGCCCTCCAGGTTTGCAAAATGACTTGTGTCACCAAGAAAAGAAATCCTAAGCTGTACCTGCACCCCGCTTCCTGAATGAATAGAACTGTCACATTACAACAAATGACTTTGTTTTTCCTGTCATGGTGACCCATCTTCTATTTGTGTCATTTGATGTTGGCAGGCCAAGGAAATTGAAGCCTCCCCTGATGACCATAATCATAATTGTAAATTTATAAATCTGCATAAGTGAAATTGTTGGAACTGTTTAAACATAATCCCATCATCTAGAGACCCGCCATTTAAACCAGGACCGAGGAAGAAAATCGCTGACATCACAAGCTGTACATCTCCTCGCAGGAGCAGCTCAGATCAGATTCTTCCCAGGAAAATTTTAAAACTCTCAGAAGAACCACACATGTGCTAGCTTAATCCAAGCTCAATCAACAAATAGTATTGAGGATGGTGACTTAAAACAGCAGTTTGGAACTGATGCTTTTGTTTTTGTTTGAATCTCATCTATGTATTAGGATTGGAAATAAAAGACACAAACCCTTGAAGGGCAGGGACCATATATACTCACCTTCTTATGCTTCCTACCTTAACTGTACCTACCATGAAAGAAAAAGACACACTCAAATGTTCACCAGGTGAATTAGCTTTAGCGTTTTAGGTTAATACGGTTGATACAGTGTAGTTAACAGAAGATCAAATGAAATCTACACTGTAACCATCCTTTAAAATGTCAGAAAATGCCAATCTCTAATAACTACACTAGCCAAACTTGAAAGGCAAGAACTGAGTTAGCATCAACAAAGGAAGTATGAACAGTCTGTCTGCCTGAAACCACGTAACAAACTGATGTGTAAATCTTAATTTTAAAGTCTTCCCAAATGCTGGTCATTTCATTTGCATGCCAGATGGTTTGATTACTCTTTTTTTTTTTTTTTTTTTTTTTTTTTTTTACTATAAAGAGAGTTTTGAGGGACTTGCTAATAAAGGGTCTGACATTTCCAAATGTTAAGATTGGCTGGCCAGGTGCAGTGCTCACGCCTGTAATCCCAGCACTTCGGGAGGCTAAGGCGGGAGGATCACTTGAGGTCAGAAGTTCAAGACCAAATGTTAACATTCTGCTTGTACTTTCAAGGCTTTGAAGTCACTTCTTTTCTTTTTTTTGAGACAGGATCTCACTCTGTCACCCAGGCTGGAGTGCAGTGGCATGATTACGGCTCACCGCAGCCTCAACCTGCCGGGCTCAAGCGATCCTCCCACCTCAGCCTCCCGAGTAATTGGCAAATAGGCATGCACCACCATATCCAACTAATTTTTATATTTTTTGTAGAAACAGGGTTTCGCTGTGTTGTCCAGGCTGGTCTCAAACTCCTGGGCTCCAGTGATCCACCCATCTCAGCCTCCCAGTGTTGGGATAACAGGCACGTGCCACCACACCCAGTCCAAAATCACATCTGAATCCCCAGCTTAACTCATCAGCCAGTACACATTTCATTCTGATCCTTTAACTCAGCTGTGGTTCTGACTTAACAGCGGTTACTGATGTTACTTCTAGGGTATGCAATAGAGTTGGCATACGTTTATGTGCTTCTCAAATATTTTTAAAATAATTAGCATTGTGTTCACGTTTTCAATTTAAAATAAATTCCGTATATTTTTCTCAAAGGAGAGAAACTTACATTTCTTTCCTAAATTCTTCCATTTTTTGATTCTCCACAGTCAGGAGTTCTTTTGATTTGTTCAGCTCTTCCACATTTTTCAAGTTGTTTTCTTTAAGTGTGTCCAACTTAAAGACCAAGAGAAAAAAGCTTGATGAAATTATTTCATTTTCCAATGACATGAATGAACAAATTATTCATGAAAGTGTGTACTGAAAAGACAGATGAAATTAGTCACTTGCAAAAAAAAAAAAAAGTCTCCTGGGTGAAGAGATTACAGATGACAAGTCTATTACAAACTGCAAACCTCTTCCTTACATTTAGTCTGACATATCCTGTACACTTGGCCAAAATGTCAAACTAAATTGCTACAGAGAGGTAAAGTTTTCTTTCATGTTGTGTACAATTCTCAGCACTTATCACGGAACTTGCTATTCAAATATGATTCATTAAAAACAAGAAATAAAATGCAAAGCAATGACATCAGCAAGGATTATTCTTCGTAATGAAAAGAAACCCTTTTCTTTTCCCAGAGATTAGTGATTTAGGATATGATATTGTTCAGTGTCACTACCAGATTTACATAGCCCTCATTACAAAAATTATTTATTTGAATCAAAATTATTTGTAGATTGGAAAAAAATTTAGTAACCCATCTGAACTTGAACCTGAAGAGGAAAAAGTCACGTTGTGGGACTGAAGGGCACTTACACCCATTTGGCTCCATCATTGGCCCACGGGGATGCAGCCAGCGGAGGGCCTGGCCCTTGGTGGAAATCCAGAGTTGTCACTGGGATGAGTGGGGATGTGACTGATCATAGGCTGTGGCAGGTGGCTGGAGCTCTAGGTGCGGAGCCACCACCAAGGATGGCAGCTAATGTGGGCCTCCATTCCTCAAGGTGGCTCCTTGGGCCATGCTGGCTTTCTGGGCCCTGAGAAGTTGTCTCCTACAGGCAGAAGAGGGAGCTAGCTCCTTTTGCCATGCCCCATGCCACCTGTCAGGAGTCCTAGAAAGTGTCTTGCTAGTTTTACAACTACCATCTTCCTTTTAACACCGAACATTCCAGATTAACAAAACAAGAAAAATAAAGTATCACAATGTGTCTGAAAACATGGTTCATCCAACCCTGAATTCTGGCTGTAACAAAGACACCAAGGGATCTGTTACAGAACGACATAGTTCCCCCTGGTTCCACTGCTGCAAGTTACACACATTCCCTAAAATCCTCTCACTTACTTCAGCTCTTAATTTTGATTAACAGCTATGATTTTTTAATGCTTTTATATTTTTAGCTTAAGTCATCTTCTCTTAGGAGTGTCAGTTCTATAAATGTGCTTCCTTCTACGTGAACTGTTGTTATTTACCATATCGTTACCTCCAAATGTTCATCTCCTTTGAGAAGTTGATTCTTGACCTCCACAATGAGAAGGACTAGTCTCCACAATGAGAAGGACTAGTATTGACAGTGGCTCCTCAGTTTGGCCACCGCCTCCCCCTTGATTTCCTTCCTTAATGTCTTACCTGCCTATTACTTTTAAAAGCATCTGGGCAGGGCGTGGTGGCTCCCACCTGTAATCCCAGCACTTTGGGAGGCCAAGGCGGGCAAAGATCACGAGGTGGAGTTCAAGAACAGCCTGGCCAACATGGCAAAACCCCGTCTCTACTTAAAATACAAAAATTAGCCAGGCATGGTAGTGGGCACCTGTAATCCCAGCTACTCAGGAGGCTGAGGCAGAAGAATCACTTGAACCCAGGAGGCGGAGGCTGCAGTAGCCGAGATTGTGCCGTTGCACTCCAGCCTGGGCAACAAGAGCAAGACTCCGTCTCAAAACAACAACAATGACAACAAAACAAAAAACAAGCAACAACAACGAAAAAAGCATCTGAAGTTGCACAGGACTTCACATAACCATTTTGGTGCGTCAGTCGGCTTAGAATTTAGATAACAGCTTTCCAAACAAAGGGTTGGTATGAGCTGGGAGGGTGGGAGCAGGGAAATCCAAAGAGGAGGAGAAATGCTACTTGTGGACAGAATCGAAATATCTTGACGCCACATATTTGTCCCTGCTCCAAAAGTGACTCATTCAAGATGACACAAAAGGAAATCAGTACTGAAATGGGCCAAGAAAAGGCCTACATCAGACTCAGGACTGAGGAACGCAACTTAGTGGCTCAAAGTTGGGAAAGGGAAGAGAAAAAACGATGTGTGTGATGTAAGATAAAGGATACAAAAGCTAGAGCAGGCCATCAGTAGCTCTTCTCACTAGTGCTATCACTAAATAGTCATCTTAGAAAGCCACACTATTAGGGTTTTTTCCTCAATTTGTAAAGTTGATCCTAATAAGTAATGAAGTGATACACTTTATTTAAGATTATCATGACTCTGGAATGCATTTCAAACCTGTGTAAGGTCACACTTCAAAAACATAAGCAATCCTGAGTTAGTGATCAAACATTCCACGAAGTTGGTAAGCTGTTCTTTGTATAAAAAGCTATTTAAATCTGATTACTTCATTCTGTAGTTTTGCATTTGTTTGCTTGGTGTCCTCCAAGGAGGCCAGAGTCTCAGTCTTCTCTTTGGTCATCTGTTCCATTATCTGCATGGCATCTTCCGCTGTTTGAGCAGCCTAAATACAAGGAAACACTGTGAGAAATGAGGACACCCCTTGCCAACACCGTTAGGTGAGGATCGGGCTGTGCCGTTCAGGCAGCACTCAGTGTCTGTGTGGGTAAGGGAGGCACACAGAGAGGGTGAATCAGTCACCAATCCAGCTGAAACAGACAGACCAGGACAGGAAAGGTCTTTACTCTAAAGTAGAATATACAGACTCTTTCCTGCCATTTTTCAATGTCAATTATTATGCAATTTCCATGTTTTCAGAACCTCTAAACATACATCTTCCAATGAAAGTTCCAAATGACACTGGCAAGCATGCTCCCTTCATTCTGACTTAAGTTTGAGAGACTGTTCGGAGGTAACAATGAATAACATCCTAATATAGCTGAATTTCTTGGAATCATATTTTTTATTATAAGTTTAAAATACTATCCTTGCTATTTCAAATCTGGGGCTTTTAAAGTCACTCAAATTTAGGCTGAGAATTTTTCAAATAAATATAAAAATTATTTGGGCACTTCTAACATGAGGCTCAAGTGTTTAATGAGAAGTATTTAATGCAAGTTGTGAGTAATGAATAAAAACATGGCTGTGAATAAAAAGATGCATATGGAGACAAATTCTTAGCTGCTATCAAAATTAATTATAAAAAGTGAGATATAGGCCGGGCGCAGTGGCACACGCCTGTAACCCCAGCACTTTGGGAGGCCGAGGCGGGCAGATCACGAGGTCAAGAGACTGAGACCATCCTGACCAACATGGTGAAATCCCATCTCTACTAAAAATACAAAAAACTAGCTGGCTGTGGTGGCGGGCGCCTGTAGCCCCAGCTACTCAGGAGGCTGAGGCAGGAGAATGGCGTGAACCTGGGAGGTGGAGGTTGCAGTGAGCCAAGATTGCACCACTGCACTCCAGCTTGGCAACACAGCCAGACTCCGTCTCAAAAAAAAAAAAAAAAAAAAAAGTTAGATATGAAAATAAATGAAAATATAGCTAGGCGTGGTGGCATGTGCCTATGGTCCCAGCTACTCAGGGGGCTGAGACAGGAGGATTGCTTGAGCCCAGGAGGTTGAGAGCAGCCTGGGCAACACAGCAAGATTCCCACCTCTAAAAAAATAAATAAACAGGCCACACACAGTGGCTCATGCCTGTAATCCTAGCACTTTGGGAGGCCAAAGCAGGTGGATCACAAGGTCAGGAGTTTGAGACTAGCCTGGCCAATATGGTGAAACCAAGTCCCTACTAAAAATACAAAGCTTGGCCAGGTGTGGCAGCACGCACCCGCAGTCCCAGCTACTCAAGAGGGTGAGGCAGGAGAATCGCGTGAACCCGGGAGGCAGAGGTTGCAGTGAGCCAAGGTCACACCACTGTACTCTGTACTCCAGCCTGGGTGACAGAGCGAGATTTTCTTTTTTTTTTGAGACGGAGTCTCATTCTGTCACCAGGCTGGAGTACAGTGGTGCAATCTCAGCTCACTGCAACCTCCACCTCCCGGGTTAGAGTGATTCTCCTGCCTCAGCCTCCCGAGCAGCTGGAACTACAGGCCCACACCACCACACCCTGCTAATTTTTGTATTTTTAGTAGAGATGGGGTTTCACCACGTTGGCCAGGATGGTCTTCATCTCCTGATCTCGTGATCCACCTGTGACAGCCTCCCAAAGTGCTGGGATTACAGGCGTGAGCCACTGCACCCAGCGAGACTCTGTCTTAAAAAATAAATAAATAAATAAATAAATAAATAAATAAATAAATAAATTTCTTTTAGGCACTTGTTTATAATTTATTGGTCTAATAAAGTTTATGAAAATTCTGCAATTTTCCCTATCCAATTATCAGCCATGAAGATTTTAATGGAATCTTCCAACTCCAAATGGATAGACACAATGAAAGAGTTAAAAGCCAAACAGAAGACCCTATATTTCAATATGCGCCAATTTATTGCTTTTTTTTTTTTGAGACAGATTTTTTCCCTCTTGTTGCCCAGGCTGGAGTGCAATGGCATAACCTCGGCTCACTGCAACCTCCATCTCCTGGATTCAAGTGATTCTACTGCCTCAGCCTCCTGAGTAGCTGGGATTATAAGTGCACGCCGCCACGCCTGGCGAATTTTTGTATTTTTAGTAAAGACGGGGTTTCACCATGTTGGTTAGGCTGGTCTTGACCTCCTGACCTCAGATGATCCACCCGCCTCAGCCTCTGTGAGCCACCACGCCCGGCTGCTTTTTTTTTTTTTAAGATGGGGTCTTGCTCTGTCACCCAGACTGGAGTGCAATGGCATGATCTCGGTTTCCTGCAACTTCTGCCTCCTGGGCTCAAGCAATCCTCCCATCTCAGCCTCCTGAGTAGCTGGGACTACAGGCATGTGTCACCACGCCCAGCTAATTTTTGCATTTTTTGTAGAGACAGGGTTTTGCCATGTTGTCCAGGCTAGTCTCAAACTCCTGGACAGAAGCCATCTGTCTACCTCAGCCTCCCAAAGTGCTGGGATTACAGGCGTGAGCCACTGTGCCCGGCCTTATTTCACTATTGCTCTTAAGCCTTTAAGAAACCACAGTTAGCTTTTTCACAAAGTTTCTCCTTAAATTAAAAAATAAATCCTTTTTATTCACAGTTTGCAATTTTTTCAAATGGGGAGAGACTACTACAGTGAGATACTTAGTAAAGAATCCCCCTTTCAGACTGTAACGAACAGCTTGAGACATATAAGCAACTGACTTAATGAGGTGGATTTCCATAAGCAGAAATGAAGAAAGATGACCTACACCACTTGAGTTAGTGCACAGTGTTAGTAAACAGTCTGGGTGCTCAATACTTGACCCCTCTCACTTTACCGTAAATGACTGAAGAGTCTCGAGCTCTCTAATTTTAAGAGTAAGCTTGTTCTTGTCTTTCCTCAAAGTACGGTTTTCATTTTGAGATTCTAGGAGATTGGCTGAAATATGGCTGTTGGTTTTGGCCAACTGGCTGATCTCTTTCTGAAGGATGAAGTAGCTTTCTGCCAGCATTTCCTTCTCCTTCAGGAGCTCATCCTTTTCCAGCATCATTTCACTCTTCTCAGCCAGGAGGTTCTGGTTGTCTTGCATCACCTGGGCTTTTTCGGCCAGGGTCACCTCATGGTTCAGCTGAAGGTCATCCAGAATCTTGGTGAGGCAGCTGTGCAGTTCCTGCAGTTCTGCCTTGGATTTGGACAAGGCAGCAAAATCACTTTTCAGAGTCTTTATATGGGCAGCAAGTTGAGCTGCTTCTGCAGTCAACAGTTCCTTCTCCTCAATTATCTCTGCCACTTCTTGCTCCGATTTGGTCTTCTCTTGAAGTAGCACAAACTTCTCGGACTGCAACTCCTCGGTACACACTCTTAACTCCTCCACCTCCTGCTCCAGGAGCACCATCCTCCCGTGAAGTTGATTGTTTTCGTACAAGGATGACTCTTTCTCCTTTGCTCTGGCTTCCTGTTCCAGGATTAAGGACTGCTGCATTTCCTGGATCTCCTCACTTAATTTCTGACACTCTTCTTGCAGGTTCAAGCTATCTCTCAGCAAAATGTTCTTCTCGGAACAACACGTGTTAAGTTCAGCATCCAAATTCTCCTTTGCTTGCAATATGTGAGTGTGTTCTTTTTCCAGATTCTTTTTGGCATTTTGAGCCTCTTTCAGCATCAAAGAGAGGTCGCACTTGCTGGCCACTAGTTCTTGGTTTTCGTTTTTTCTCTCTTGAAGCTCCTTCTTCAGAGCGTCAATATTACCGAGGAGTTTCATATTCTCTTGCACAATTATCCTTCTGTTTGCAGACTCTTGATCACATTGCCTTTTGAGGTCTCCTATGGCTTTGATGGAATTCTCTCTCTCTGCAAGTAAAACTCCATTTTGGGTTTCCAGTGCGGATTTTTCTTTCAAGAGACTATCCTGATGCTTTTTAAGTTTAGTCATTTTCTGAGAAGCCATCTCCTTCTCGGAAGTCAGGTAAGTGATCTTCTCATTCAGGCTCATCTCAGTATGGGCAGCCTCTTCTGAGCATTTGTGGAGTTTTTCAGTGATGATTCTATTTTCACTTAAAAGTTCTTCTTTCTCAGCCAAGAGCCTTCTCTCAGAGGCAGCCAAGGTTTCTTTCTCATGCAGAAGCTGGATGCACTCAGAGTCTGTGACTGCCCGCCTGGCCTTAATTTCCTCCAAGAGCTTCGTGAGGCTTGTGTTTGTGGCCTGGAGTTGCATGGTCTCCAGCTCTGCCTTCCTCAGGGCCTTGCTGGCATCATCCAGCTGTGCGCGGAGCCCACTGGCTTCTGAGCGGAGCAGCTGTTTGACCTGGAGAGCGGCCTGGAGGCTGGCATTCAGCTTTTCCTGATCGTGCAGCAGCATGTCCGTCTCTAACTGCAGATCTCTGTTGTTCTGAAGAGCATTATCTCGTTCCACCTTTAAGGCTATGCACGTGTTATCGAGATTGGACAGTTTCTCTAAAGCTGACTTTTTCTCAGCTGTGAGATCTTCAATGTCCTGTACCAAAGCTTTCTGATCTTTGACTAGCTCCTCATAAGAGCTCTGCAGCTTCTGAATGATGTCATCCTTATCTTTGGCCAAGATGAAGTTTTCGGTAATAAGTTTCTTGATCTGGTCTGCCAGGTGATCTCTTTCTTCCTGGTCCTTCTCAGTCTTGGCAATCAAAGCATCTTTGCTGAGCTGGAGCTCTTCGATGAGCGTCTGCATGCTCACCTTGGAAGCTTGCAAAGAGTCATTCTCCATATTGATCTTCAAGAGTTCTTCCTGTGCAACATTGATTTCTTTAAGCAATTTCTCTCTCTCAACAGCCAAAACTTCTTTATTGAGATGTTCCTGCTCATAATGCTTTTCAGCATCTTGCTTTTCTTCTAAGAATTTCTCCTTTTCTAAATTAAGAGTTTCATTCACTGACCACAGTTTCTGCTGGTCTCCCTGAAGTAAAGCTATTTTGGCCTCCAATTCTACAAGCTTGGATAAAAGTGAACCGTTTTCTAACTTTAAATCATTTCCCTCCTGCGAAAGAAGCTGCTTCTCTGATTTCAGACCCCTCAGCTCTTCTGACATTAGTTCAATTTCTTTTTTGGCTGATGTTAACAAATAAGTTAGCGACTACAGAAACAAAAGATGGAAAGAATGGAAACAAAAATGAAATCAAGCAGACAAATGCAAGCCCAAATAACTTAATGTAACCTAAATGATAAAACCTTTACAATTTCTACAATAAACTTTATAGAAACTATCTGAATAACAAGGGAAAGAAACTAAACAGAGCCCATAAAAAGATAAGTCAAAAGTAGCTTTGCAAAGTGCTTCTTTATCTGTTAGCTTATTTTATCTCTGAAACAACTTGTGAAATTATTCCCAGTAGCTACCTAGAAGACAAAAACAGTAGCTTGATTTTAATATCAGGGCAAAAGATTCTTTCTTGCCATTCCAATTATCGAGTTACTTTGAATACAGAAAGGATTCATAGAAGAATTTTTAAAAAATACAATTAAAAGAAGTACAAAAAGTCAGTACATTTTAATAAAAAAAGGAAGGGGCATAACAAGGGAAAATAAACTATTGCCTTCCAAACTCACCGCAGGACCTTACTTAAGGACAGCCACTGGGCTGAGAGTGATTTAGTCCTAATATCACATATAACTTAAAAACTACAGCCTAATTTCTAGGCTTTGGTGACTAAAATGAATAGATTTTTTTTTAATTTACTGAATTATAATTTGACCACAGTGTCTATAACAGTGCTGTCCAGAATTTTCTACAATGATATAAATTTTTTTTTTTTGAGACTGAGTCTCGCTGTATTGCCCAGGCTGGAGTGCAGTGGTGCAATCTCAGCTCACTGCAACCTCCGCCTCTGGGTTCAAGCCATTCTCATGCCATAGCCTCTCGGGTAGCTGGGATTACAGGGCTCCGCCACCACGCCCGGCTAATTTTTGTATTTTTAGTAGAGACAGGGTTTCACCATGTTGGCCAGGCTGGTCTCAAACTCCTGACCCCAAGTGATCCACCCACCTAGGCCTCCCAAAGTGCTGGGATTACAGGCATTAGCCACCATGCCCGGCTGATATAAATGTTCTTATTTGCAGTCCCATCATGATGACCTTATGACTACTGAGCACCTGAAATGTGGTGAGTACAACTGAGGAGCTAAATTTTTAATTAAAATGTAACAAATTTAAATTTATTTATTTATTTTTTGGAGAGAGTCTCACTCTGTGGCCCAGGCTGGAAGGAAATGGCGCGATCTCAGCTCACTGCAACCTCTGCCTCCCAGGTTCAAGTGATCCTCTTTTAAGCATATATAAAAATAGAGAAAATAATGTAGACCGCATATATTTCCATATTAAGGTTTTTATTTTTATTTATTTTTTGAGACAGAGTCTCACTCTGTCACCTAGGCCAGAGTGTGGTGGCACCATCTCAGCTCACTGCAGCCTCCACCTCCCAGGCTCAAGGGATTCTCCTGTCTCAGCCTCCTGAGTAGCTGGGACTACAGGTGCGTGCCACCACGCCCGATTAATTTTTTGTATTTTTAGTAGAGACAGGGTCTCATGATGTTGCCCAGGGTGGTCTCTAACTCCTGAGCTCAGGCAATCCGCTCACTTCGGCCTCCCAAAGTGCTAGGATTACAGGTGTAAGCCACCAGAACTGGCTACAAATTTAAACTTGAATGGCCTCACATGGCTGGTGGCTACTGTATTAGGCAGCACAGCTATAGCCCACTGGCTCTTAAAAGTAGGGAATAAGGAGGCTTCATGGGCTCCCTGAACCTTGTTGAGTGCACACATAAACCTTCCTGAAAAAATATCTGTAGATTTCATTAGATTTTTCCAAAGAGTCTGGGACTGATTAAGATCCACTGAAATCAGATACCAGACAACTTTGGAGGGGAACAGTCCTGGCATTTTAACTCAGTGACCCTTGCACAAAACCAACCAACAAAATTAGTGAGAATGGCCAGGAATGATGGCTCACACCTTGGGACGCTGAGACAGGTGAATCACTTGCATCCAGGGGTTCGACACCAGCCTGAGCAACATAGCAAGACTCTGTCTCTACAAAAAAAATTTAAAATTAGCCAGGTGTAGTGGCACGTGCCTTTAGTCTCAGCCACTTGGGAAGCTGAGGCAGGGGGATCACTTGAGCCCGAGAGGCTGAGGGTGCAGTGAGCCATGATTGTGCCAGTGCACTCAGCCTGGGTGACAAAGTGAGACCTTGTCTCAAAAAACAAAGGAAAACCGAGGAGACCTTGTATCAGCTTCTTCCATGCTGTGGTTTGCTCAGGCTGCAACATTTTATTTATTTATTTATTTATTTATTTATTTATTTATTTATTTTATTTTATTTTATTTTTTTTGAGACGGAGTCTCGCTCTGTCACCCAGGCTGGAGTGCAGTGGCCGGATCTCAGCTCACTGCAAGCTCCGCCTCCCGGGTTTACGCCATTCTCCTGGCTCAGCTTCCCGAGTAGCTGGGACTACAGGCGCCCGCCACCTCGCCCGGCTAGTTTTTGTATTTTTTAGTAGAGACGGGGTTTCACCGTGTTAGCCAGGATGGCCTCGATCTCCTGACCTCGTGATTTGCCCGTCTCGGCCTCCCAAAGTGCTGGGATTACAGGCTTGAGCCACCGCGCCCGGCTAGGCTGCAACATTTTAAAGGAAATACAAAAAAAAAAAAAAACCTGAAGTCTGCACAGATAAACCACAAAGACAAAAGATTTGGGAATTGTATCTAGTGTTAAATGGCTCATAAAACTGGAGGTATTTCACAGAAAGAAGAGAAATCCTCAACTATCAGCATGTAGAAGAGGGAGAATATGGGCCTCCCAGATGACATGCACGGCGCACACACACCATGGCACGTCCACTTAGTTAGCAAGAGGCTTTTCATGAGATTGGTTTCAGTCCTATATATGCTCTTTTATCATTTCTTTCTACTAAACTCCCATAACACATTAAAAATAAATAAAGATGAATATTTACTTTCCTTTGAGCAATAAAAGGTTAAATAGTGGGAAGGCTGAACTTCGTGAAGTTACCAGAGTCACAAAATATACTGGTCAGGCCAGGCACGGAGGCTCACACCTGTAATCCCAACACTTTAAGAGGCCAAGATGGGAGGATTGCTTGAGCCCAGGAGTTCAAGACCAGCCTGGGCAACATAGCAAGACCCCACTCTCTACAAAAAAAGAAAAAGTAAAAAATATATATTGGGCACAGATACAATCCTGAAACCATAAAATGAAATCCAACATACCAAGTTCTGCTCTATCTACTAACAGGGTGTTTCCTCCCTGCCCTTGAATCCAGCTTCCTCATCAATAAGCTCACGGTACCTTCCTGGGGACACACAAAAGCCCTCTGCGGAGTTCTCAGTTCTAACTCTTCCTGGAAGAGCTCTGTTCCTCCAACCAGGCTCTCTCTAGTCCTGATTCCTTGCTTGCTTGCTTCATGTGACCTCTGCCTCTTGCTTTACTGCAATGTCTCTCCTAACCCTAGTGCAAGGCGGCAACAAGCATGGCCAGTATTAGAGGAACAAGCAGGCAAGCAGAGCTCAGGCAATGGAAGAACCTTTGTGATGGCTGGGAAACAAGCAGCACGGGGGTGACAGCTACACACTCCATTCCAGGAAAGACCGGCCGCCATCACCGTCCCTGAGAAGGAATGGCAGCTGGCACAAAACACTTGAAGCCATAGGAAACGTAACGTACCACCCACGCACTCAGAAGGGTAACGTTTGTAGAGGCCATCGTAACTTGTCCCACTGGATGCTGCTTTCTAAGAACCCTTCCTGCCTTGACACAGAGCTCAGGCAAGCTACAGCACAAGGAAATTCTCTCGCATCACGTACTTTGGCTTTGTCGGCTTGCTTTCTCAGCTCCTCCAGCTCCTGCAGCAAGCCACTGTTCTCCTCCCGTGCGCCCTTCAGCTTGTCCTCTGTGTCCAGCAGCGTCTTCCGGAGGTTCTGCAGGATTTCTTCATGCTTGGTCTTTGTCTCAGAAGTGGCCTTCTCATACCCGGCTTTCAGCTCCTGACACTGGTTGTGGCTCGTTTCCATCTTCTTTTCCTGCAGAGACCCCGAGTGAGGGAACCAGTCATCTGCCCATGTGTGTACTACCCCTTGCCTTCCTTTCCAGCCAACAGACCCACTGAGTCTCTCCTTACCAGGTCTGACAATTTCCTCTCCAATTCTTTCTTTTCTTCCTCATGCTTTTCAGCTGCTTCTTGCTGGCTCTGTTCAGCTTTGAGAGTCATGTCCTCAATACTTTTTTGCAGAAAACTTGCATTTTCATTAGCCTTTGTAAGTTTTAGCTGTAATTCTTCTACATATCTAGAAAAAGTTTCAACATAAGGTGTCAATTTTTCATAAGAATGTTTTAAATTTAAGAGTTATATTAAAATATACTACTAATAACAACTGTAGTAATTATTTTTAAAAGTTATATGTAATTAATAACATCTGAACTAGGCAAGAAATTTTAAAATGCTTTGCCTAATCATTTTACCAATTATGACAGTTACAAATACATTATTTACAGTAACTACTACTATAATTGTGAAGGTTTACTATGTCAATAATTTAAAAAGGAAAAATGAGTGAAAAATAAACTTATTAAAGGAAATGAGGCCAGGTGTGGTGGCTTATGACTATAATACCAGTGACCTGGGAGACCAAGATGAGATCACTTAAGTTCAGGAGTTCGAGACCAGCCTGGTCAACATTGCGAAACCCTGTCTCTACTAAAAATACAAAAATTAGCTGGGTGTGGTGACGCATCCCTGTAATCCCAGTTACTCAGGAGGCTGAGGCAGCAGAACTGCTTGAGCCCAGTAGAAAGAGGTTGCAGTGAGCCAAGATCGCGTCACTGCAGTCCAGGCTGGGCAACAAAGCAAGACTCCATCTCAACTGAAAATAAATAAAGGAGGTCAGGTGCGGTGGCTCATGCCTGTAATCCCAGTACTTTGGGAGGCCAAGGTGGGTGGATCATGAGGTCAGAAGATCGAGACCATCTTGGCTAACATGGTGAAACCCCATCTCTACCAAAAATACAACAAATTAGCCAGGCGTGGTGGCGGGCGCCTGTAGTCCCAGCTACTCGGGAGGCTGAGGCAGGAGAATGGCATGAACCTGGGAAGTGGAGCTTGCAGTGAGCCGAAATCACGCCACTGCACTCCAGCCTGGCCGACAGAGTGAGACTTTGTCTCAAAAAATAAATAAAATAAAATAAAATAAAATAAAGGAAATGAGTATTTTTAAATTTTAGCAGACTAGATAACCAAAAATTCATTCTAGTGCTTCTGGAGGACAGAAGATACAAAAATGACTCGAAGTTCTACTTTAAAGAGACTACGTGGTTGAACAAAAACATGTATACTAAACATGGGGGGCCAGCACATTGGCTCACGCCTATAATCCCTGCACTTTGGGAGGCCGAGGTGGGCAGATCGCCTGAGGTCGGGAGTTTAAGACCAGCCTGACCAACATGGAGAAACCCCGTCTCTACTAAAAATACAAAATTAGCAGGGCATGGTGGCGCATGCCTATAATCCCAGCTACTCAGGAGGCTGAGGCAGGAGAATCGCTTGAACCTGGGAGGCGGAGGCTGTGGTGAGCCAAGATGGCGCCACTGCACTCCAGCCTGGGCAACAAGAGTGAAACTCCATCTCAAAAAAAAAAAAAAAATGGGACGTTGACCAAGAAAACAGACTATCAGATGAATCAGAGATACGAGAGGGAAACTTGGGGGCACTTCTGGTTTTTATATCCACAAAACACCTACAAAAATGGAGCTTTTTGAAGGCACTGAGCCACCACTACCTGGGCAGCAGCACCACCTCAAGGCAAGTTTGACCAAAGTTGCCCAACCAAGGCCTGACCACCACTCAGTGCTGACAGAATTGTGTGAGGGTGAAAGACTGGATGTCTTAATAAATAGAACTTTGCAGGTATTAACACTTTTAAGAAGTAGAAGTCTAATGCCTACAGACTTAATTTATAAATCTTTGCCTTATAAATTTTGATTTTTATATGACAGCTATTAAAAGAAAAAGATCAAAGCAACAAGAATTCCAAATAAAGACAAGAACAGATATTAAGACAGAGGAAACTTCAGCACTGAGGAAGTACAATGCAGTTTTTGTTTCTTTTTTTTTTTTTTGAGACGGAGTCTTGCACTGTTGCCTGGGCTGGAGTGCAATGGCACAATCTTGGCTCACGGCAACCTCTGTCTCCCGGATTCAAATGATTCTCCTGCCTCAGCCTCCAGAGTAGCTGGGATTACAGGTGCACACCACCACGCTCAGCTATTTTTTTGCATTTTTTTAGTAGAGACAGCATTTCACTATGTTGGCCAGGTTGTTCTTGAACTCCTGACCTGTGATCCACCCACCTTGGCCTCCCAAAGTGCTGGGATTACAGGCGTGAGCCACTGCGCCCGGCCTACAATGCAGTTATTAAGAGCAGGAGGGGCTCTGGGACCAGACTGCTCAGATCTGAAACCTCAGGCTTCACCCCAGTAAGCCTCAGTTTCCCTCCATTCCTTCCTTTTTATTATTTATCTATTTGTTTATTTATTTTGAGACAGAGTTTTGCTCTTGTTGCCCAGGCTGGAGTGCAATGGCACAATCTCGGCTCACCACAACCTCCGCCTCGCAGGTTCAAGTGATTCTCCTGCCTCAGCCTCCTGAGTAGCTGGGATTACAGGAATGCACCACCACATCTGCCTAATTTTGTATCTTTAATAGAGATGGGGTTTCTCCATGTTGGTCAGGCTGGTCTTGAACTCCTGACCTCAGGTGATCTGCCTACCTCGGCCTCCCAAAGTGCAGGGATTACAGGCATGAGCCACAGCGCCTGGCCTTATTTATTTTTTTTTTTTGAGACAGAGTCTAGCTCTGTTGCCAAGGCTGGAGTACAGCAGCATGATCCTGGCTCACTGCAACCTCCGCCTCCTGGGTTCAAGTGATTCTCCTGCCTCAGCCTCCCAAGTAGCTGAAATTATGGGCGCACACCACCATGCCTGGCTAATTTTTGTATTTTTAGTAGCGATAGGGTTTCACCATGTTGGCCCAGCTGGTCTCGAACTGGTGACCTCAGGCAATCTGCCTGCCTCAGCCTCCCAAAGTGCTGGGATTACAGGCGTGAGCCATAATCTCTGGCCTCTTTTTCTTTTAAATGGGAATAATACTAAACTCACCTCATAGGATAATAAGAATTAGAAAGCTGTTAGCACAGTGCATGGCCCATGGTAATAGGTAATATGTGTTTCCTATTAAAATAAGTTCAGGCCAGGTACAGTGGGGCTCATGCCTGTAATTCCAGCACTTTGGGAGGTCAAGGCAGCCAGATCGCCTGAGGTCAGGAGTTTGAGACCACCCTGGCCAACGTGGTGAAACCTTATCTCTACAATAAACACAAAAATCAGCAGGGCATGGTGGCATGTGCCTGTAGTCCCAGCTACTCAGGAAGCTTAGGCAGGAGAATCGCTTGAACCTGGGAGGTGGAGGCTGCAGTGAGCCGAGATCACGCCACTGCATTCCAGCCTGGGCAACAGAGTGAGACTCTATCTCAAAAAAAAAAAAAGTTAAAAATATTTTTAAAGGCTGGGCACGGTGGCTCACGCCTGTAATCCCAGCACTTTGGGAGGCCGAGGCAAGCAGATCACCTGAGGTCGGGAGTTCGAGACCAGCCTGACCAACATGGAGAAACCCCGTCTCTACTAAAAATACAAAATTAGCCTGGCGTGATGGTGCAAGCCTGTAATCCCAGCTAGTTGGGAGACTGAGGCAGGAGAATCACTTGAACCCAGGAGGCAGAGGTTGCAGTGAGCTGAGATAGCACCAAGCTGAGATCACGCCACTGTACTCCAGCCTGGGCAAGAAAAGTAAAATTCCATCTCAAAGGAAAAAAAAAAAAAATATATATATATATATATATACACACACACACACACCTTTTCTTTTTTCTTCTTTCAAGATGGAGTCTCGCTCTGTTGCCCAGGCTAGAGTGCAGTGGCACAATCTTGGCTCAATGCAACCTCCACCTCCTGGGTTTCAAGTGATTCTCTCATCTCAGCCTCCTGAGTAGCACATACCACCACATCTGGCTAACTTTTGTATTTTCAGTAGAGACAAGGTTTCGCCATGTTGGCCAGGTTGGCCTCAAACTCCTGACCTCAAGTGATCCGCCTGCCTCGGCCTCTCAAAATGCTGGGATTACAGGCATGAGCCACTGTGTCCGGCCTTCTTATCTTTTCTTTACAAGTCACCAGAAGCTCTACAAATAATATTGTATTCCTTAATTCTGTTGACAAGTAAGATAGGTAAAACCCATTTTAGAAGGTTAAATAGTTGATTCAAGGACACAATGAGGTAACAACAGAAAGGAACAGAGACGGGGAACTTGAAAACGTAACAATCCTAAACATTTTCTCTCCCCTCCTATCTATAGCTTGCCGCAGAGCCTAACTGAAGGTGGGCACTCTTTTCAACAGTCACATATACCTTTCTTTCAGACGTAACTCATCGTTCATTTTCGTCAGCTGAGAAGAGTTATCTCCTGACATCTTCATTATTTCTGCAATGTCATTTTCCAGTTTTTCCTTCGCCTTTATCAGCTGCTCTTCTCTCTCATCTTTCTCTCTAAATTTTGCCTCCATCTCTAAATATATAGAGAAAAAAAGAATGGCACGGCTGTGTTATAATCAACAAAAACTGACTGAGTATATCCTTGCTCTTGTAATATTTTCACATAGCAATCCTTGTCCTCATAAAAATCACATTCTAATGAAGAAGGCAGACAATAAGCAAGATAAAGAAAATAAATTGGTCAGGCGCGGTGGCTCACGCCTGTAATCCCAGCACTTTGGGAGGCCGAGGCGGACAGATCACAAGGTTAGGAGATCAAGACCATCCTGGCTAACATGGTGAAACCACATCTCTACTAAAAATACAAGAAATTAGCCAGGCGTGGTGGCGGGTGCCTGTAGTCCCAGCTACTTGGGAGGCTGAGGCGAGAGAATGGTGTGAACCCGGAAGGTGGAGCTTGCAGTGAGCCGAGATCGCGCCACTGCACTCCAGCCTGGGCCACAGAGCGAGACTCTGTCTGGGAAAAAAAAAAAGAAAAAGAAAAAAAGAAAATAAATCATATAATTAATAGTGGTAAGTTCTAAGAGGAAGAAAAATAAATGCAGGGAAAGGAGCTGGGAAGGAGGTTAGACTCTCAGATGGAGCTTCCCTGACATTTCAGGGGCTGACATTTCAAAGAAAACCTGAAGGAAGTGAGGGAACAGGGAAAAGCAAGTGCACAGGCTCTGAGAAAGGAACACCCACCACGTCCAAGCACCGCAAGGAGGCTGAAGTGGTTGGAGTGGAATGAACAGGGGAAGGGGGTCCCAGATGAAATCCAAGAGGTAACAGGGCCTGATCGTGGTAAGGACCACGGCTTTCCCTGAGTGGGATGAGAGCCGCTGGACGACCTTGAGGAGAGAAGCGACATGATCTAAGTTCATATTAAAAGGATTGCTCTGGCTGCTGTGTTGAGAACAGACTGAAGCTGGCACAGGCAGCAGCAGTGAGCCCTGGTGGTCAGCTGTCAGGGTAGCTCAGATGAAAGATGGCTGTTGGCCTGGAGCAAGGATAGCAGTGGGAGTGGTAAGATGTGGTAGATTCTGGCTCTTGTCAAAACAGAGCAAAGAGGATTTGCTGGAGGTTACAGATCTCGAACAAGTATTTCATCACATTGTTATATCACCATAATGAGTGAAGAGGCTACGCTTGAATAGTACATTTGTTATGTAACATACTACAACTGTCTCAAACACGGGAAAGCCTACTGTATTTAATGTTTCGTCACCGGAGATGTCTTCTTACCTGCTAAGTTTTCTCTCAGCTTCTCCAAGTCAGAAGACAGCATGTTAAACTGTTCCTCCTTTTGGTGTAACTTATTTACAGTTTCTATTTAGGATAAAGTTAGAAGTTTAATATGTTTCATGTTTAATAAGCTATCTGGAGCTTGGCTGTCTTACAACCCAATCAAATATTATGCTCAAAAGATCTGAGAACACAGGAATACTAAAAAGTCCCCTTACAAATCACACAGCTGTGCACAGCCTAAAAGAAGCAGGTCTGCTGCTGTCTCTGGCCTCCCCGAATCTGTACTTTCGGCCCGCATCAGGCCCTTTCCACTCATCTCTTTCCTTCTTCCAATTAAAACTCAATAAAGCTATCAATGATGAGAGCATAAATAACTCTCTTCCCAGGAATACTTACATTTTAATACGGAACAAGCCTTAAGCTAAAAGAAGAAAAAACTGGGAGTCTGAGGCTTCAGGAAACCAATGGAAGCCAGTCTTTCTGAGCACGGCAGGAACTTCCAGGGGAGTGAAATGAGGCTACGGGCAGTGTCTACTCTGTGCACTCCACAGGCCAGCTCCAGTTTGAAAGAATAATGTTCTTTAAAGCAATCTGCACACGCTCTAGTAAGACATACCTTGCATGCTTCTCTGAACAGAGACTGCCTCCTCTGAAGCTTCAGCAAACTTTTCTTTCTAAAGAAAAAGAATCGGAGATTCTGAACAGAAAGATTTCAAATTGTGAAGACAAGAAGTTTCTATCGATTATAATTACAATACTATCTACTTTTTGTTGCTGGCCTTGTTTTATTAAAACTAATATACTTCAAACATATGATACCAATTACTACCACATGTGGGTCATACAAACGTGCATGTATACACACAAAAGACTGCAGTCTGCATGTGTGTGTGTGCACACGTGGGAAGGCAGGGATACCTGCATGCCGATGTAGGCACATTCATACTTAAGTACATGCATGTGCGTGTATACACAGGGTGCATGTGTATGCTTCATATTGCCACCCCTCAAACAGCAGACCTTCTCTTCAGAAACCTGCCTGAGATGGTGAACAGAGCTCTGAAGTTTGTTATTTCTGAGAGTAATCTGAGTCTAATATCTTGAATCTAGGTCTGTGTTGCTACTTTTGAAACTGAAAAGGCCCTTCAGTCACTTACTGTTCAAGGTCTTCTTTTCTAAACATGACTATAGGCCAAGTTAAGAATCACTCTCCTGGTTGTCCTGAGACGAACTTCGAGCTAGCTACATCAAGCAGATTGTTACATGAGGATTTCTAACTAGCTAAGATTATGATAAGATGGCACAGGGGCCACAGTGCATCCAAGCCCTCAGGCTGCCCTCTGTGCCATCCCACAGCCAGACTCAGGGTGTCATGTCTTGTCCTAAGATATACAGAAGGATACTCTAACTTAGGGGGAAAAAAAAAAAAAGGCAAGGCTTCCTAAAAGCTTTGGGAGGAGGGCAGAGAAGCAATGAACTCAAAACATTTTCTTAAAGGACATCAGGCCGGGTGTGGTGGCTCATGCCTGTAATCCCAGCACTTTGGGAGGCCGAGGCGGGCAGATCACTTGAGTTCAGGAGTTTGAGACCAGCCTGGCCAACATGGAGAAACCCCATCTCTACTAAAAATACAAAAACTAGCCTGTCGTGGTAACAGGCGCCTGTAATCCCAGCTACTCAAGAGGCTGAGGCAGGAGAATCTCTTGAACCTGGGAGGCAGAGGCTGCACTGAGCCGAGATCGTGCCACTGCACTCCAGCCTGGGCAACAGAACAAGACTCTGTCTCAAAAAAAAAAAGAAAGAAAGAAAAGAAAAAAAATCACACATGTTTATTCACACTGTTAATAGCACAGAAGTGTAATGAACAGGGAAGAGGGAGGGATGTGGAGGACCTGGAACAGCTGAGCCTGCATGGCACATATGCCTCTTGTCTAGTTTCTCCATAAGCCTCTGGCTTTTCTTTCCATGGCATGTGGATGGGTACCACTGGCACTACTCGTGAGTATCAGCCTTGTTTAAACTCAGGTTTTAAGTGCAGGAGGCAAGTAGGAAGGAACAAAGTTGAGAAAAGGTAAAAAATATATATATGTCATACAACTTGAGATTAAGGTAAAAGACAACATATAAAAGGGAAGGTAATTTTCTGAGGTGGAATAAACTGAGTTAGATTTCTTTGAATTTGTTTAATTAGACAGCAAACATCCTGCCTCGCCAACAGAGGGCGCCAATGGCCCAGGACAGCTGCTGCCCTGATAGGCACAATTGAGGGGCCTTATTCAATATGAAACCTAATTGTTCAATGCATAACTTGGAAGGGCTCTGTCTTTAGTAAAACTAAGTAGTCAGTAACGTTTCAAAGCAGTGTGTTACCAGAGGCGAAGGGATAGATTAAAAAAAAAAAAAAAAAGTAATACCTACCTCGGTTGTTTAGGTTTGATCTGATTCCCCTCAAAGGACAATATTTATCAGCCAATAACTAATACACTCAAGTTCAATCAACACGTAGAAAGAGAAAGGAAACAGCTGCAATATTTCTTACTGGAGGATTTTTTAAAACAGGAAATGGCCAGAAACCCTGAGATTCAGATTCCCAACAGGTACTTACCAAAATCTGAAGTTCTTTTTCCAAAGTGTCTTTCACTTGACTGACTTCACTCAAATTTTCCTGAAGGTTAGTAAGCTTTAGCTCTCTCCCCTGGAGCTCTCTGGTAATGCTACTAGCCTAACACACAGAGTTACATGGTATGGAAGCAAATGAACAAAAGGAAAACAAAAGAGAATGAGAAGAAAAAAAAAATAAACAAATGTAAAAAAACTTATGAGAAACATAAAACAAAACTGAAAGGAATACAAATTTGGTATTGGTTTTTAATTCTAAGACGTCAACGACTTTTCGAACAATCAGTTCTATGATACGATTTCCTAATGGCTTTCGTTTTGTTGTTGTTGTTGTTGTTGTTGTTTGCCTTGTTTTGAGACGGAGTCTCGCACTGTTGCCCAGGCTGGAGTGCAGTGGCGCGATCTCGGCTCACTGCAAGGTCTGCCTCCTGGGTTCACGCCATTCTCCTGCCTCAGCCTCCCGAGTAGCTGGGACTACAGGTGCCCGCCACCATGCCCAGCTAATTTTTTGTACTTTTAATAGAGATGGGGTTTCACCGTGTTAGCCAGGATGGTTTTTTTGGTGTGTTTCTTTTTCTTTTTGAGACAGGGTCTCTCTTCCCTGTCACCCAGGTTGGAGTGCAGTGGTGTGATCATGGCTCACTGCAGCCTTGAACTCCTGGGTTCAAGTGATCCTCCAGCACCAGCCTCCTAGGCAGCTGAGATTATAGGCCCGTGCCACTACAGCTAATGTTTAAAACAATTTTTTACAGATGGGGTCTCTGGCCGGCCTCGGTGGCTAATGCCTGTAATCCCAACATTTTGGGAGGCTGAGGCAGGTGGATCATTTGAGGTCAGAAGTTCAAGACCAGCCTGGCCAATATGGTGAAACCCCGTCTCTACTAAAAATACAAAAATATACCGGGCATGGTGGCATGTGCCTATAATCCCAGCTATGCGGGAGGCTGAGGCAGGAGAATTGCTTGAGCCTGTGAAGGAGGCCGAGGTTGTAGTGAGCTGAAACTGCGCCACTGCACTCTAGTCTGGGTGACAGAGTGGGACCCTGCCTCAAAAACAGAAAGAAAGAAAGAAAGAGAGAGATGGGGTCTCACCATGCTGCCCAGGCTGGTCTCAAACTCCTGGACCCAAGCAATCCTCTTGTTTTGGACTCTCAAAGTGCTGGGATTAGAGGCATGAGCCACTGTGCCCAGCAACTATTTTTAAAGAGTCAAAATAGACCTTTTTCTATACTTCATTGTAACTTGGAGTATCAGCATGATCTAAAGTAGACGGTGTGGATGCTTACTTTCTAAATGAGCTACTTGAGCAATTTCATTTCCTAGACTTTAAAAACCTTGGCTGGCCACGGTGGCTCACACCTGTAATCCCAGCACTTTGGGAGGCAGAGGTGGGCGAATCACAAGGTCAGGAGATAGAGGCTGGCCAACATGGTGAAACCCCATCTCTACTAAAAACACAAAAAATTAGCCAGGCGTAGTGGCACGCACCTGTAGTCTCAGCTACTCAGGGGGCTGAGGCAGGAGAATCGCTTGAATCTGGGAGGCGGAAGCTGCAGTGAGCCAAGATCACACCACCACACTCCAGCCTGGGCCAAAGAGCAAGATTCTGTCTCAAAAAAAAAAAAAACCTTAAGGCCAGGCACAGTGGCTCACACCTGTTATCCCAGCACTTTAGGAGGCCAAGGCCAGTAGATCTCAACTGAGGTCAGAAGTTCAAGATCAGTCTGGCTAACATGGTGAAATCCTGTCTCTACTAAAAATACAAAAATTAGCCAGGCGTGGTGGTACACACCTGTGATCCCAGCTACTGGGGAAGCTGAAGCAGGAGAATCCCTTGAGCCTGGGAGGTGGAGGTTGCAGTGAGGGCGACAGAGCGAGACTCTGTCTTAAAAAATAAATAAAAACAAAAACCTTAAGATGGGAATATATGTGGTCTACATTATTTTCTCTATTTGTGTATATGCTTAAGGTATTTTGACATTTAAATACAAATAAAATTTAAAAATCCACTGGACAGGCAAGATGTGGTAGCTCAAGCCTGTAATCCCAGCACTTTAGGAGGCCGAGGTGGGTGGATCACTTGAGGTCAAGAGTTCGAGACCACCCTGGCCAATATGATGAAACCCTGTCTCTATTAAAAATACAAAAATTAGCCAGGCATGGTGGCAGGTGCCTGTAATCCTGGCTACTCGGAGACTGAGGCAGGAGAATCGCTTGAACCTGGGAGGTGGAGGTTGCAGTGACACCCAAGATTGCACCATTGCACTCCAGCCAGGGCGACTGAGTGAGACTCTGTCTCAAAAAAACAAAACAAAAAAATCCACTGGACAATAGTCATTATAACTTGGTTTTCATGAAATCTTGATGTTAAAAAGTAAACTAACATTAGCTAAATATTATCTTCTAATTTTTGTGTTTTGATTAGTATTTCGGAACCACATGAGGAGATTTGAGAAAAATTTCCTGTAACCAGTTTGTCATCTTTGACTACGGTTAGTTAGAAATTTTTTGCTGTTTGTCAGTCCTCACCTCACCCCACCTTAACCATTACAACCCTTCCTTCTTTGCCAATAGAGCAGCCTCTCCCACAAAAAAGTTCAGAACATTGAGCATCAATACCAGTGCCTCGACTAGTGGCAGGACTGGGAAACAATTCCTCGAACCATCCTTAAAAATAAAGATGACTTTTAACAAGGCTAGTTAGTAAGGAACACAGCTGGCGAATGTTTCATTTAATTTTCTAAGCCTTGACCACATGCACACTTGTTCAGTATTTCCCCCAGAAAAGAAAGGGACAGATCGTGTTCTCATTGTGCCACAGAAAAAAACTCCAATGAGATTTTTGCCATGGAAAGGGCTCCAAGCTTTTACCCTTAATTTTGCTGTGAATGTTATTTATCACGACATGTGTTCTTTCAGTTTGTTTTTTGTAGATGGAGTCTCGCTCTGTCGCCCAGGATGGGGTACAGTGGCACAATCTCAGCTCACTGCAACCTCCACCTCCTGGGTTCAAGCAATTCTTGTGCCTCAGCCTCCCGAACAGCTGGGATTACAAGTGCACACCATCATACCTGACTAACTTTTGTATTTTTAGTAGAGGGGGCCAGGCTGGACTCAAACTCCTGACCTCAAGTGATCCGTCTGCCTCGGTCTCCCAAAGCACTGGGATTACAGGCATGAGCCACCTTGCCCGGCCAACATGTTAATTTATAATAGTCAAGAAGCACTGAGTTCACATTCTGTTTTTATACATAACCCTATAGGCAATTACAGTCACACATTGCTTAAGAATCAGGATACCTTCTAAGAAATGCATCATGAGGCATTTCACTGTTGTGGGGACATCACAGGGTACACTTACACACACCTAGAAGGTATAGTGTACTACACACCTGGGCTACATGGCACAGCCTATCGTTCCTAGACTATAAACCTGTACAACATGTTACTGTACTGAACGCTGCAGGTAATTGTAACACAATGCTAAGTATTTGTCTATCGAAGCATATTTAAACATACAAAAGGTAAAGATACCATATTGTAATCTTATGGAACCACCTTTGTTGATGTGGTCCATTGTTGATTGAAACATCATTATGTGGCACCTGACTACGTGTGGTTAGAAAAGGAGGAGATGTTCTTTTAAGCTTCTTTTTTTTTTTTTTCTTTTTTTTTAGACTGAATCTTGCTGTCTCCCAGGCTGGAGTGCAGTGGCATAATCTCGGTTCACTGCAATCTCCACCTCCCGGGTTGATCAAGCAATTCTCCTGCCTCAGCCTCCTGGGTAGCTGGGATTACAGGCGTCCGCCACCATGCCAGGCTAATTTTATGGTTTTAGTAGAGATGGGGTTTTGCCATGTTGGCCAGGTTGATCTCAAACTCCTGACCTCAGGTGATCACCTGCCTCAGCCTCCCAAAGTGCTGGGATTACAGGCGTGAGCCACTGCGCCTGGCCGATCTTTTAAGTTTCTATTCATTTATTCATTTATCTTAACACCATAGTGTTAGGGCATTCTTTATTTTAAAGAGTATAGACTGGAGCTAAGCTCAAATTAGAAGTCACAGCATAGCCCAGAGATAAATAGATCAGGTACTCAGATAATAGGCAGCCAAAATAAATTCACATGGTTGAGCCATTATTTTCTCTAATCTCCTCAGATGAAACCATACTTGAGATACTCAGAACATACTACACTATACTCAACTGGCGACATCGAACAATTTAATTAAATTAGCAATTTGAAAGATGAATGACCTCAACTCAAAAGTAACATAATGCAAAATAAGAATAACAAATGGAAAAGAAAAGGATGGAGGATGTCAATACAAACCTTGCTACTTTCAGCATTCTTTTCAATCTCTAAATGTTTAATCTGTTTCTCAGCTGCCTCAAGCTGCTGTCTAAGTTTCTCCATTTCCGATTTGCCTTCGGAACTGGCTTTCTGAAGTGCATCAAGATCCAAGAGCTTTTCTTCAGTAGCCTTGAGCTGTGATGTAAAATTATCAATAACCTTGGTTTGTTCATTGCATTTGGCTTGTAGTACCTCTAGCTCCTTTACCTTTATTTCAGCTTCCTGTAATTTGTTCAACGTCTCTTCCATTTCTACGAGATGCTGGTCTTCTGCTTTGTCCAGTTTCGACTTGATGGCTTCCAGACTGTTTTCCTTTTCTTTAATAACTTTCATCAGTTTAGCCCTCAAGGCTTCCATCTCTTTAGCATGAGCAGACCGTTCAGAGTCTTGTTGATTCTGCAAATTTTCTATTTCGTGTTGGTAATCTAGTCTCATTTTCTCTATTTGTGTTTTTAGCTCAGCAAATTCTGCCGTCTCTGTCCCAAGCCCTTTGCTGAAAGATACCTTCAGTTCTTCCATCGCCTGCTGGTGGGACGCAATGGCAGTCTCCAGTTTGGACTTCCATAGAGCTATCACATCTGAGTTCTCTTTGTTGGCATGCTCCAGCTTGCTTTTCAATGACTCGTTCTCTTTGGAAAGCTTTTCCGTGGCAGTATACAGAGCTTTTATCTCCTTCTGATGAGTTTCTTCCCGGGCTCCAAAATGCTCCTTCAGAGAAGTTATTTCTCTCTGGTGGTCAGTACGGGTGACTTCTAACTTTTCTTGCAAAGAGCTTATCTCTTGCAAAAGGGAAAGTGACATGTCCACATCCCCAGCAGGCTTATTGGACTCTAGCCTTCTTCGGAGCTCAGCTACTTCCTGTACTCTCAATGCTAGATCTTTCTCCAACTCCATTATACGTGACTTTTCTGAAACTGTAGCCACCTATTAACAGCAGTCCAAAGAAAAAAAGATTATTTAAATAATAAGTCATTGACTTTTTTTTTTTTTTTTTTTTTTTTGAGATGGAGTTTCACTCTTCTTGCCCAGGCTGGAGTACAATGGTGCGATCTCAGCTCACTGCAACCTCCACCTCCCGGGTTCAGGCGATTCTCCCGCCTCAGCCTCCTGAGTAGCTAGGATTACAGGCATGCGCCACCATGCCCAGCTAATTTTTGCATTTTTAGTAGAGACGAGGCTTCACCGTGTTGGTTAGGCTGATCTCAAACTCCTGACCTCAGGTGATCCACCCACCCCGGTCTCCCAAAGTGTTGGGATTACAGGCGTGAGCCACCGCGCCCGGTCTGATTTTCTCTGACACTGAAGATATTTAATAACTACCTCATCTCAGGCAGCAAGCTATTATGAATGTTTATAGGTTAATACATATTTCTAACTGTGATAATGGCTTAAGTCCAACTTTAGTAGCTCCAATTCTAAAGAAGCTTAAATCAGATAAATATCCATTAACTGATAAGTTAACAGAAACAGTAACTTTCAAAGTTCTCAGATATATCTGCCTCCTGAAAGAAAACATTTCCTTATTTTGCCAGTTTGTTCTACTCCACTTCATCCAGGCTGCATAAATGCTTATCCATTTCATGGAAGTGATCTTACAACTGTGCCATCCGGAACAGTAGCTGTTAGCCACACGTGGCTACTAAGCACTTGAGACAGGGCTCATCTGAAGTGAGGTGTGGTGTAAGTGTAAAATACCCATCAGATTTTGAAGACTTAGAAGGAACACAAAATGTCTTGTGGGCCAAGTGCAGTGATTCACGCCTGTAATCCCACCACTTTGGGAGGCCGAGGCAGAAGGATCACTCGAGGCCAGGAGTTCAAGATCAGTCTGGGCAACATAACAAGACTCCATCTCTGCAAAAAATAAAAAATTAGCCAGGTATGGTGGTGTCGCCTGTGGTAACAGCTACTCGGGAGGCTAAGGCAGGAGGATTGCTTGAGTCCAGGAGGTTGAGGCTATAGTGAGCAGTGATTGTGCCACTGCACTCCAGCCTGGGTGACAGAGCAAGACTCTGTCTCTAAAAAAAAAAAAAAATTAAATTATATTTTAAAATGGTTAAAATATCTTGTTAATTTTTATATTGATTAAATATTTTGGATATATAAGTTTACATAAAATATATTATTAAAACTAATTTAACCTGTGATTTACAAAAAAGTAATGTGGGTACCAGAGAATTATAAATTGTACATGTGTGGCTTGCATTATACTTCTATTGGATAGCACTTGCATAAAAGGTCTGAAATTACCTATCAAATGTTTCAATAAATAACACATCACCTGTAGAATGAAACTGTCATTGAAGAATGAAGAATTAATTTACTAAACTTTTTTTTTTTCTTTTTGAGAGGGAGTTTTGCTTTTGTTGCCCAGGCTAGAGTGCAATGGCGTGATTCCAGCTCACTGCAACCTCTGCCTCCCAGGTCCAAGCAATTCTCCTGCCTCAGCCTTCCAAGTAGCTGGGATTACAGGCATGTGCCACCACACCTGGCTAATTTTGTACTTTTAGTAAAGACAGGGTTTCACTATGTTGGTCAGGCTGGTCTCGAACTCCTGACCTCCAATGATCCACCCAACTTGGCCTCCCAAAGTGCTGGGATTACAGGCATGAGCCATCACGCCCGGCCTACTAATCATTTTATTAAAACACAAAGTAAGAATGATTACTTACCTGCAATAATACATAAGAACCTTACACAAAATCCCCTTTTTAGATTTGATAATTCTATCAGCATTTTGATGTAAATATCTTCTTCCCCTAACCCTCTAACCCAGTGGTTCTCAGACATTAGAATGCACATGAATCACCTGGAATGTGCATCTAACCTGCAAGTTTCCACCTATTCCCAAGTACTTTGATTCTATTTGAGCTCTTGGGTAGTACCCAAGAATCTTCTTCCTTTAAATAAATGCCCCAGGGCTAGAAAAACACTTTCTTAACCTGTGCCCTTTCAGTGCTAGAAAATTATTTCCCTCTGCTACCTGCTACGCAGTCCCTTCGGTACACAGGACATGTGGAAAATAGCTTCCATCATAAAAATTCTTGGACTAATCTGGGAAATGAAAGGAAACAAAATAATTTTAAAACAGCAATGAGTCCCATATTTCAAGGATCAAAACTCCTCTGATTGGCTGGGTGAGGTGGTACATGCCTATAATCCTAGCACTTTGGGAGGCCAAGGCAGGAGGATCACTTGTGGCCAGGAGTTCAAGATCAGCCTGGGCAACACAGCGAGAACCCCATCTCTACAAAAAAATGTTAAATATTCCTCTGAATTTAAGACTCCTCTCCCACACTGCCTTTCTTTGAGACAGAAAATAACAGATATGTTTCTTTCATTTCCTCTGCCCACCCTACAGGCTGTGACAACATTAAAGATTAAAAATGTCCATAAAAGAAGAGGAAAAGAAAGCACTGGGTCTCTAAAATTACATAATCAAAGTAAATAAAATTAAATATTTCAGAGCTGACTATAATTGCTGTGCTTCATAGTTATAGACTCATCAGGTTAAAGATGTTAATTCATTTACACATGATTTTCTAGGGAGGGAAGAATCCAAGAGTTTGTTATGCCAAAATAACATACAAAACATTAATAAACTCACTAGGATATGGTAAAATTTGCTAAATAAAAGAAAAAAAACCCACAAAACACTAATAAACCCCATTGCTGCAAGGTCTGTAGCATAAATACATTAAACCCAATAGGGCAATGGTTCTTAGTTACAACAAAACAGTCAAGTAGAGAAAAATGCCAAGTAAAAAATAAGTAAAAATAATAAATAACAATGTGATTTTACTTTCCATGGCATTTTCCTATAAAGTACAGCAATTTATTTTTCATTTCCCAAAATCTGCCCTCATTCAAAACTATGTAGTATGTCTGCTTCTCCCACTAGTTTGAGACCATGAATTAAGTCAGAAATTATTTCTTATTCTTGCTAACATCTCTACAGCACCAAGCACACTGTTTGGAAACTGGATTTATTGGCTAGAAAAAATTCTAAAGCACTTCCTAAAAAGTAACATAGGTGATACGAAACTTACATGGGTAGCTGGTTATTTTAATACTTGGGAAACCAAGAGTGAGGATCAACGGAAGACATACTTCATTATGGAAAGATTATAAGCTTTACACTGAAATACTTGGATAAAACATAGTGTAACTGTATGCCTTATCTAGAGCAGAAAAAAAACCACAAAATTGTTTGCTGACAAAAGGGAGAGGAGTTTACATGTTTAAAAAAAATATATCGCTTCAACAGCCCATCACACTAAAGGAACTCAATCTCATTAGTCCACTGTATTTCCCAGATCAATTATTCGGCTCTCAGTTAATAAGGAAACAGCACCAAATTACCACTTTTTTTTTTTTTTAAACAGGGTCTTGCTCTGTTGCCCAGGCTGGAGTGCAGAGACGTGAACATGGCTCACTGCAGCCTGAACCTCCTGGGCTCAAGAGATCCTCCCACCTCAGCCTCCCATGTAGCCACCACACCCAGCTAATTTTTTTATTTTTTGTAGAGGCAGGTGTCACCATCTTGCCCAGGCTGGTCTTGAACTCTTGGACTCAGGTGATCCTCCTCCCTCGGCCTCCCAAAGTGCTGGGATTACAGGCATGAGACACCATGCCTGGCCCACTATTTTTGTTTTCTTACCAAATACACAGGAGAAATCTTTAGTTCGGAGGCCGATCGTTCCTTCTTCTTAAAAAATAAAAACGTATGATTTAGAAAAGAAAAACTGTCTAGATTTTTAGATCAGTCAATGAATTCTCAACAAGAGAAATTTCTACAAACATTAGAAATTTCTTTTAAAAATCAAGATAGAAAATTTGATTAGACAGAGTAATTTTTCTTTTTTTTTTTTTTTTTTTTTTTTTTGAGACAGAGTCTCGCTCTGTCGCCCAGGTTGGAGCGCTGTGGCCGGATCTCAGCTCACTGCAAGCTCTGCCTCCCGGGTTCCTGCCATTCTCCTGCCTCAGCCTCCCGAGTAGCTGGGACTACAGGTGCCCGCCACCTCGCCCGGCTAGTTTTTTGTATTTTTTAGTAGAGACGGGGTTTCACTGTGTTAGCCAGGATGGTCTCGATCTCCTGACCTCGTGATCCGCCCGTCTCGGCCTCCCAAAGTGCTGGGATTACAGGCTTGAGCCACCGCGCCCGGCCTAGACAGAGTAATTTTTCAAATTCTAAAGTTAAGAATCTGGGCAATTTAGTCACTGACAGACAAATTCATGATTTAAAAGGGTATGTGAATACCTATCTTACATGTAAGTGACTGTTTCTTAATCTTTAAGCACAAAACAACTTCCATAATAGCCAGACTCCATCCTGTGGTGCTTAAGAGCACAGGCTCGGCCGGGCGCGGTGGCTCAAGCCTGTAATCCCAGCACTTTGGGAGGCCGAGGCGGGCGGATCACAAGGTCAGGAGATCGAGACCACAGTGAAACCCCGTCTCTACTAAAAATACAAAAAATTAGCCGGGCGCGGTGGCGGGCGCCTGTAGTCCCAGCTACTCAGGAGGCTGAGGCAGGAGAATGGCGGGAACCCGGGAGGCGGAGCTTGCAGTGAGCCGAGATCGCGCCACTGCACTCCAGCCTGGGCAACAGCGTGAGACTCCGTCTCAAAAAAAAAAAAAAAAAAAAAAAAAAAAAGAGCACAGGCTCTGGGGCCAAATGTCCTAGATGCAAATCCTGCTTCCACTATTCTATTTGCTGTTTTATCTTAGGCAAGTTACTTAACTTCTCTGTCCCTCAGTGTTCTTGTCTGTAAAATGGGGACACTAATACTCCCTACCTCCTATGGTTGTGTTGAGACGGAATACGTCTAAAGCACTTAGAATAGTGTCTGGCATGTAGTATGTACTATATAGGTGATTTAATATATAAATAAACTAAAACCTGACTAATGTCCTGGCTCCAAGGGCCAAGCACAATGAGCTCGGGGCAGGAAGAAGCCATTCTGTTCCCAACATACATTTCCCTCCTGACCACTGAGTGTTTTTATTGTTTTGTTTTGTTTTTTCCAGACAGTCTCATTCTGTCACCCAGGCTGGAGTGCAGTGGCATGACCTCAGCTTACTGCAACCTCCACTTCCTGGATTCAAGCAATCCTCCTGCCTCAGCCTCCCATGTAGGTGAGATTACAGGCACATGCCACCAGGCCCAGCTAATTTTTGTATGTGTAGTAGAGACAGGGTATCACCATGTTGGCCAGGCTGGTCTCAAACTCCTGACCTCAAGTGATCTGCCTGCCTCAGCCTCCCAGAGTGCTAGGATTGGAAGCGTGAGCAACTGCGCCCAGCGTCCACTGAGGTTTCAATCCCCTGAGTGACAGGATGGAGGGAGATGCAGAGATCAGCCTTCCAAGATAAAAAGGTAACTGGGGTGAAAGTCTTTAACTCTCATGAAACAGAGCCCATGTTTCCATTTCCTTCTCCCAAGAGGCCAGGGAAGAAGTCAGGAAGAGAGCTAAAGTAAAACAACAATAACAAAAAATTCTTTAGAAAGCCTACTAACTAGAAATATGAGAACAAGAGGACAATTGACTGCTTGTGGCCAACTGGAGAAATGTATTTCATGGTATTAATATAAAGAACTTTAAATAAGTTATATCTACTCATTTATTCAGTTGTAAAGTTTCTGATCCTGATTTGGTTGGGTTGCCAAAGGAATGAGTCTTTCCTTTTGACAAAAGAGGAGATATAAACACCTGTTCCTGCTCATCAGTCTCAGCTCACGAACACCTGAACGGTACCAAGACCAAACTCAGGTTGAACCACTGGGTCAAGGCTCAGGCCAACTCTAAAGCCTGTCACCTGAGGTGTCCACCATTCACATGCATGGGTCTGCTTCATTAAATAGTGAAAACCATTACCCTAGTGTCTTCTAACTCCCTCTGGAGTTTGTCAGCTTTGGTCTTTTCAAAGAGCAGGCTCTGTTCAAGCTCCTTAATGCGGGCATGCTCCAGTTTGGTCTGCGTCTGTTAGTAAAAAGGAAGAGGAAGAGAACACAACAGTGCCACCATGACATGCCAGCACGAGAGGAGAGACAGCGGCATGCAGGCTGAGCCACCAGTACCTTCTGCCAAGGGGTGAACCAAAGGGGAATGGAGAAGGGAAGAAGTGGAGGTGAGATGAGGTGGGCAGTGAGGATGAATACCAGGGATAAAGGATGGTGGTGGGCAGGGGGCATGGGCTAGTCTGTTCAGAAAGAAAAAAATGGAAAACACATGAGGCCAGATGAAGTGTCAGAGGCATGCAGCCAAATATAAGTAATATTGATAAGTGAAGTTTATCAGCACCAATTAGAATAGTTAATATCCCTCCCTCTAAACTATTCTTATCCCTCCGCCCCACAAAGGCTGCTTGACATTAATGTGTATGTAACTGACTTGATCACTTTAAAAGGTATATTGACCCTCAGAATGACCGTCACTATCACCTAAATATGGCAAAGATACCATAAATCTTAAATTGTTCAATAAGTCCTTAGAGCAGATTCTTGCACCTTAGCATATAACTTGACGTAAATAAGGGTCAAATAATAACCCCAATAGAAGGAATCTGGAAACTAGAGCTAAGAAATCATGCTAGCAGGCTCTGCAGAAATGGGCGAGAAGGGTCTGAGTTAGAGTCTCAGCAACATTCCTACATGTGATGGGGAAGAGGCCATGGAAGCTCTAGCTTCTTTCCAGCAGTGGATTTCCCAAAGGCTATTTGGCTCCAGGGAGGGAAAAAAGGACTCAGAATTACAAAGAGAAAATTTAGTAATAATTATCCTCTATAGTCTCCATCTCTGAAGCAGGCCAAATGAGAGGCTCAGGAGAAGAGCAAAGTTTAGCTCAAACTGGTAAGGGGTTATTTTTACCTTAAGATGCAGATGTTTTTATTAGCTCAGATGTAAAAAGCCAACTCAACACAAAGGCATGGGTTCGAGCTCTTGCAAAAAGAGCTGGTGGGTTACTAAGGTGATTCAACACCTGTGATCTCAGAAACTCTGCTCTCCCCACCATCACGCACTTGGATGTAGCCTGATGGGGAACCCAGAGGATAATCTCTAACAGGTTTAACTGCAGCAGAATCTTAATCAATTTGAAATAATCTGGGTCCAAATGTACCTCTTCCCACCCCCACCTCTCTTATACAAGAGGTTATCAGTTATCAGAATCAGCGACTGACAAGGCCCACACCTGCAGGGCTGCTCTCAGCAGCTGTCAGTTACTTGCAGTAATTTAAATATTTTGTGGTTCTAATTGACCTGACAGTCTGGACAATTACAGGCAATGAAAAAAATGACAACAGACTCTAAAAAAGTGACACAAAGTAGTGCAGAGCTTGAGTAGAGGAGGGGAACGTAAAAGTGAAGGTTACAAACGTCTTCACTCATTCCAGTGGGACTCGGGGACCTCAATGCATTCAAGAGGTCATTTTGCTTGTAAACCAGGTATCAACAAACCATCATGGGATATTTAAAAGGTGAACAAAATTTTTTTTTATCACCTGCTTCAGCTCTGTAGAGTCCACAAAAATAATGAAATACAATTCAAGCCCTAACTGTCTGGATAATCCCCTTGGTCTGTATGTGCTTTGGATGGACACTGTTCAATCTCCCTGCTTTTATAAGAAAAGAATCTAATCCTTACCCACATAATTGGGGTCACAGCCTCAGGAGCTGAAATCCAAAACTACAGTAGTAGGAAAAGAAAAGGCAACAGAACCTTTTTTCTCTTGACATAGTTAAGTGTCCTCTGGGTAAAAGGTCACTATTTCCCTATAAAAAGGATAAAAAGCAAATATACGTTGAATGTGATCTCCTCCCCATTCAGAGATCTTCCAGATAAGCGTAGCCAATGCCTCCTTACTGATGGGTCTATATACCTATTATCTGGGGCTCTACAGTGCCTCAGCCTCCCCAGTAGCTGGGATTACAGGCGTGCGCCACCACACCCGGCTAATTTTTGTATTTTAGTAGAGACTGGGTTTCACCATGTTGGCCTGGCTGGTCTTGAACTCCTGACCTTAGGTGATCAATCAGCAGCAAGGGAACTAGTGATCCACTTCCATGCCGCAGTACACAGTAAAAAATGTGACACTGAACAGGACAACCCTTCTTATAAAATCATTCCTTTCTTAGAATAAGACACAGAGTATCCCAAGAGGAAAGTCCTGGGACAGGGGATTGAGAAGGAATGCAAAGGCTTTGCGAGAAGCGCACAGGAAAGGCAGGGGGGAAATCCCATGCAGACTGACACCGGGGGCAGCAGGAGCCTGTTTCGGAACGAGAGAAGAGACCCAGATCACTGAAGTAGCTTCACAAAAAGGAACTCTTCAGAACGAAGACCTTTTAAAACATTTAGTCTTTTTTTTGAGATGGAGTTTTGCTCTTTTTGTCCAGGCTGGAATGCAGTGGCGTCATCTCTGGTCACTGCAACCTCTGCCTCCTGGGTTCAAGTGGTTCTCCTGCCTCAGCCTCCCTAGTAGCTGGGATTACAGGCGTGTGCCACCACACTCGGCTAATTTTTTTATTTTTAGTAGAGACGGGGTTTCACCATGTTGGCCAGGCTGGTCTCAAACTCCTGACCTTAGGTGATCTGCCCGCCTCAGCCTCCCAAAGTGCTGGGATTACACGTGTAAGCCACAGTGCCCGGCCAAAAGTTTAGTCTTGAGCTGTCTATTTCAGCTGCCAGGAGGTGGTAGGAAGTAATGTCATTCTTTAATTTCCTTCTTATGTGGCAATAAATCAAAGCAGAATGCTTTCAGGTTCTTTACAACCAGCAGCACAGCTGCCAGGGTACACCAGGAAGCAGTGCTCTAGAGACCACATAGCAAGAACTTGTACTGGATGTTTGAACTTAGAGGAAGAAAAATAAAACACCTGCATGCCTAGTAATGCTACAGCTAGAAAACTCTCACTTCACTAACAACAATTTAAAACATACTGTGTCTTCACTGACAAATGCTTGCCTCTAGTTTCGCAACTAAGGAAAATACTGTAGAAACAAACGGAAGTTTGAATGTCTCATCAGCTGCATTGGCAGGCACTGGCCAGTGGCGGGGGCACACTGAAAAGGCAGCCAGTCAGCTCTGGGACAGCAGCCAGCCTCACGATACCCTTTCCTCTTATGGGAAGTAAAATTAGACAACTTGGAAACTTCCCCAGAATTCCCACAACTCCACATCTAGAATGCTTTATGCTCCAGTCAGATATCATCTCTTTTGGAGTAATTCTACTAAAATTAGAAGACATTATGAATTAAGTGAAGAAGGCCAGGTCTCCAGACAAAAGACTTTTTCCCCCCTTTCTGGCAAAATTCTTTATAAAGCAAATAATGACCTATTCATTAAACACATGAATGTGTGGAGCTTAGTCATTATATACAATTTCTTCAGGATATAAACGTAATTGCTTTGAAAGCCACATGCACAGAAACATTAAGGTCAATGTCCCAAGGTCAGATTATGCAGTTAGTGTTTGAGTATATCAATAAGCATTTTAATCTGTGATCAATCTTTGTTAACAAGGGAAATATCCACACAGTTAAGTGCCCTCTTACATTCTCAGGATCTTCAGAAATCTGGCTCTTTTGCTATCAGTAAAAAAATAAAAAAAATTAAACAACAACAAAAAAGAGATTCCAATAAAGCTTCAATATGTGTTAGGGTTTCAAGATAACTTTATTTGATTAATTTCAAGTAAGTTTATCAGACAGACTATACAAGCCTAGTGCTGATGTAAATTATTTTAACTGGACCCTCCCCAAGACACCATAGGCTGTATTTCATATGAATTAGATGATGACATGAAACTTCTAATGAGACTTTGGGATGTTTTTAAATGGATGAGAACACAAAAATTGACTAAAGGAATGTGGCTGTATATGAAATGAGTGAAGAAGATATCTATTACATTGTTAATGAACCATTAAATTCTGGGCCCCATAAAACTAGAACCCAGGAAATGCCCCCCTCCTTGCTTTGTTAACTGTAAAGACACATTTATTTCCAAAGAAATCAGAGTTGCTGTTTGGAAGGACCCCTCAAATTTAAGCATGGTGTGGGCAGCCGACAGACTCTAAAATTGTAGCAAAACTGCATATTTGGGAAATGCACAGTTAAGTACAATTTTTACTAAAATATTGTAGATTAAAGGACCACAAATCTGGAAAATGTGAAAAACTGAATGATTTACATTTGTCATATATCTAGCAATGGCTTGAAACCATCAAAACCATTTAATTCTGGTATCTAATTTAAAAACTAATATGAATACATTGTTTAAAAGGGATGAGAAACCTGACACTAAAGGAAAATCCATGAATTCTACAAATGCCATGAAATAAAAGAAGCTGAAATATAAAGTGTTCTTAGTTTTTGCTCTGCCGATTACTTTTTTTAAAAACGTCAACAATTACAACATATTCCTTTTATAGGGTTATAAAAGGATTTATCCTGCTCAACTGGAAAGCAAAGTTGAGATAAAGAAAAAAAGCTTTGTTATGGACTTTTTTTTGAGACAAAGTCTCGTCCTGTCCCCCAAGCTGGAATACAGTGGCACCATCTCGGCTCACTGCAACCTCCACCTCTCAGGTTCAAGCGATTCTCCTGCCTCAGCCTCCCAAGTAGCTGGGATTACAGGCACCCGCCACCATGCCCGGCTAATTTTGTATTTTTAGTACAGATGGAGTCTCACCATGTTAGCCAGGCTGGTTTCGAACTCCTGACCTTAGGTGGTCCACCCACCTCGGCCTCCCAAAGTGCTGGGATTATAGGCGTGAGCCACTGCACCCGGCCTGTTAGGGACTGCTATGACCAAATTTAAAATGCCTTTTCTAATCATCAGAGGAACATCAGTCTCACTTAGGACTGCTTTAAATTGAGGACACACTGCCAGATTTATGACTTGATGAAACCCAATTCATGGTTTTGAATTGTGAAGCACGAGAAAGAAGTAGTGCAAGTTTCACTCTGCCACAGGACATGGACACACAATCACAGGCTCAAGGACTGGCACCGTCACCACAAAGCCACCCCCAGAAGCCAACCTGGCCAGAGAGGCCAGGGTTTCCCCTGCCACTTCCTCAGCTGACTGCTCTGGCCGCTCATTTCGATTGGTGCATTATTTCACTCATGTTCTGAATAGTGATACCCATCAAAGCTTTAAGAGAGGTGAAGGGGTTTTACCTCAAGATCACCTTTGGTAATTGATTCTTCTTCAACCCGGAACTGAAGGTCCTCAACCTTCCTGCGGAATAAAACCCAAACAAAACACTTAAGAAACTAAGTAACACACAGCCTTTAAAAAAAAAAAAAAAAAAAAAAAAAAATTCACGTTGGGGATGGTAGGTCACTCCTATAATCCCAGCAATTTGGGAGATGGAGGCAGGAAGATCACTTGAGGCCAAGCAGTTTGAGACCAGCTGAGGCAACATAGTGAGACCCAGTTCTTATATTTAAAAAAAAAAAAAAATCTATCATCACTACCCTGGTGAATTCAAACAGAGAGCAGCAATAAATGCCTTAGAGACATAATAAGTTTAAAAATGCATCTCTGCCGGGCGCGGTGGCTCAAGCCTGTAATCCCAGCACTTTGGGAGGCCGAGACGGGCGGATCACGAGGTCAGGAGATCGAGACCATCCTGGCTAACACGGTGAAACCCCGTCTCTACTAAAAAATACAAAAAAACTAGCCGGGCGAAGTGGCGGGCGCCTGTGGTCCCAGCTACTCGGGAGGCTGAGGCAGGAGAATGGCGTAAACCCGGGAGGTGGAGCTTGCAGTGAGCTGAGATCCGGCCACTGCACTCCAGCCTGGGCGACAGAGCCAGACTCAGTCTCAAAAAAAAAAAAAAAAAAAAAAAAAAAAAATGCATCTCTGCACTTCGGGAGGGCAAGGTGGGAGAATGGCTTAAGGCCAGGAGTTTAAGAGCAACATGACGAGACCCGTCTCTACCAAAAAAATTAAAAATTAGCCAGGTGTGGCAGCATGCATCTGTGATCTCAACTACTTGCGAAGCTGAGGTGCGAGGATCGCTTGAGCCCGGGCAGTCAAGGCTGCAGTGAGTTATGATCGTATCACTGCACTCCAGGCTGGGCAACTGAGTGAGATCTTGTCTCAAAAAGAAAAAAATAAAATAAAATAAGCTACCTGTAATTCTAGCATTTTGAGAAGCTAAGGTAGGCAGACTGCTTGAGCTCAGTTTGAGACCAGTCTGGGCAATATGGCAAAATCCTATCTCTACAAAAATTAGCCACGCATGGTGGCACGTGCCTGTAGTCCTAGCTACTTGGGAAGCTGGGGTAGGAGGATCACTTGAGCCAGGGATGTCAAGGCTGCAGTGAGCCATGATCACACCAGTGTACCCCAGCCTGAGTGACAGAGTGAGACCTTGTCTCAAAAGATAATAATGGCTTTTTTTTTTTTGAGACGGAGTGTTGCTCTGTCGCCCAGGCTGGAGTACAGTGGTGCAATTTTGGCTCACTGCAACCTCTGCCTCCTGGGTTCAAGCGATTCTCCTGCCTTAGCCTTCCAAGTAGCTGGGATTACAGGCACCTGCCACCAGGCCTGGCTAATTTTTGTATTTTTAGTAGAGATGGGGTTTCACCACGTTGGTCACGTTGATCTCGAACTTCTGACCTCAAGTGATCCGCCCACCTTGTCCTCCCAAATTGCTAGGATTACAGGCATGAGCCACCGCAGCTAGCCATACATTTTTTTTAAAAAAAAAGAACAGAAGCAAATGGAACTGGTGCCATGGAATTCAGAAGGGCCTAGAGGGTCTATCACTGTCTCTTGTTTACTTGCAGCCATTTTTTAAATATGAAGAGAATTTCCTGCGTATAGTGTTTCTCTCTCCAGTGAGAAAGTAAGAGATGGTATTGTACCTCACTATGACCCCTGACAACATTGCTTATGACTGGGATAAGCACAGAGCAATACTAATTTATTACTGAATTAAGTCCCTGTTACCAGAAATGACAGAAGATGGCATTAAATCCAAAAGAAATAAATGTCCCATAACCCAGGGATGTTCAAATGATTTCCATGCAGACACTTTTTTCAGAGACTGTGTCTGTTCACGGCCTCAAGAAAGTTCCTTTGTTTGTTTCTGAGACAGGGTCTCACTCTGGTGGCCCAGCTGAAGTGCAGTCTCAGCTCACTGCAGCCTCAACCTCTTGGGCTCAGGTGATTTTCCCACCTCCTGAGTAGCTGGGACTACAGGCATGCGCCACCACGTCCAGCTAATTTTTCTTTTTTTCTTTTTATTTTTAGTAGAGACAGGGTTTTGCCAGGGTGTCGCCCAGGCTGGTCTCAAACTCCTGAACTCAAGCAATCTGCCTGCCTCAGCCTCCCAAAGTGCTGGGATTACAGGTGTGAGGTGCCACTCCCGGCCTGAAAGTACCCTTTATAAGAACCAAACTTAAGTCTGTGTCTCACACCATTTAACATTTGATTTCGTACTGACCCCTACAATTCTCTCATCGTTCCACATGTGAGAATTTCGTTTTCCTAATAAGGCCTGAGTTTCTCAAGTACAGGGACCTTATGTCACTCACCAGACATAACACAATTCATAAACACTAGGTAACTTGGACCTAGAAGAGCCTCTCACCAGGAAACTGGTTCCAGGTGAAAACCGGTTGGGAATGGCCACCACAGCTCTGATGAAGGCGACCCTCCAGAGTAGGTCTGGAATGCATCACAGCTCAAGAAATAGGTTATATTAACCAGGCCATGTCTTTATTTTTTCTTTTTGAGACAGAGTCTCACTCTGTCACCCAGGCTGGAGTGCAGTGGTGCAATCTTGGCTCACTGCAATTTCTGCCACCCGGGTTCAAGGGATTCTCCTGCCTCAGCCTCCCAAGTAGCTGGGATTACAGGCACCTGCCACCAATCCCGGCTAATTTTTTTGTATTTTTAGTAGAAACGGGGTTTCACCATCTTGGCCAGGCTGGTCTAGATCTCCTGACCTCATGATCTACCCGCCTCAGCCTCCCAAAGTGTTGGGATTACAGGCGTGAGCCACTGTGCCCGGTCAATCAGGCCATGTCTAAATGATTCCAAACTTATTGAAAAAAGTCGAATCAAAGCAGATCCTCTTCACACAGTATGGCAGAGTTCACTTTCTGCTGGACATATAGTCATTCCTTTGGTCCTGAGGGTTGATACCAACATGATTATTAATAGGAAATTTTCTTCTAAAGTCATTTAAAATGAAAAGGCTGCTGGGCACGGTGGTTCACGCCTGTAATCCCAGCACTTTGGGAGGCCGAGGCGAATGGATTTCCTGAGCTCAGGAGTTCGAGACCAGCCTGGGCAACGTGGTGAAACTCCATCTCCACTAAAATACAAAAAATTAGAGACAGGTGTGGTGGCGTGTGCCTGTGGTCCCAGCTACTTGGGAGGCTGAGGCAGGAGAATCGCTTGAACCTGGGAGGCAGAGGTTGTAGTGAGCTGAGATTGCACTGCTGCACTCCAGCCTGGGCGACAGAGCTAGATTCTGTCTCCAAAAAAAAAAAAAAAAAAGGGCAGGGGGAGGCTACAACTGCACCAGGAAACAGTCTGGGGTCACCTTTTCTCCTCTTCAAGCTGGTTAAGAAGCTCCACCTTCTCCCTGTCCGCAGCTTCCACCATGGTTCGCAGCTGGTCCATTTTGGCTTCCAATTCCAGGACATGCTGGGGAAGGCAAGAGTGTCAGTAAATGGACTATTTCTGACCAAGACACAGACCCAGAGATACTTCCCCAAAGAGCTGTGGGTCACCATGGTGAGTGGGCGTTACTCTAAAACCTTATGTTAAAATGCTTTCTCTATTTTAATAGGTTATTCTCCACAGCTTTCCTGGAAGATAGATGATGAAAAACCACACCGTTAAAGTGATAAAGAACAATGTTAAAACAACCCTCATCTTTTTTGAAGCTGAAACACATATTAAGAGTAATCCACAAACAGCGGCTATAATCACTGGTAAGGCCCTAGTAACTAAGCTGGCCTAACACCCGACACAAAGACCAGACACTAAGGTCGAATCAAGAACAAAACTTCATCTCTGTGATCATGGAAACTGGCACCCCAGGTGGCAGCTTTCAAACAAGCACAGCAAAGAAATGTACACCCATTTCCAGTGCTCTCAAGACTAGCTCCTCGGTGCCAAGCACTGGGTATGCTTCTCGGCCTCCTCAGCAGCTTTAGAAACCATCACTATCTCCACAACAAGGTCCAGACTTCACCTGGTCATGTCCGTCCCGGGCCAGAGCTAGCTCCTGCTCTATCTCCCCCACGTGGCTCGTGGCCTTGGCCACCTCCGCCCTCTCCAGATCCCGTTCCGCCAGCAGCTGCTCAATGTGCTGCTGCTTCTCCTTCAGGGCCTCCTGGAGGGCAGTGGTACCGGAGATCTTCCTGGCGTAACGGGAGGAGGTTTCAGTCAACTGCAAAGGAAAGTTAGAGAAGTGAAGGGCGATGATGCTGTCAGAAAAGCGAGGGAGGCGTGATGCATGCATGGCGGGCATCTGCTCGGCAAAGCAAGGGCGCTGCTCCAGTTGGCAGGCTGGCCAGGATTAGGAAAGGCTTCAAAAACACAAGACAGCGTGTGCCTTCTGTCTATAAATCTCACAAAGAATACGTCAATGTAAAGAGATCGGCCATGTGCAGTGGTTCACGCCTGTAATCCCAGCACTTTGGGAGGCCAAGGTGGGTAGACCACTTGAGGCCAGGAGTTTGAGACCTGGTCAAGATGGTGTGACCCCACCTCTACTAAAAATACAAAAATTAGCTGGAGTGCAGTGGTGCGATCTCAGCTCACTGCAACCTCCACCTCCTGGGTTCAAGTGATTCTCCTGCCTCAGCCTCCCAAGTAGCTGGGATCACAGGCACGCACCACTACCACCCAGCTAATTTTTGTATTTTTAGTAGAGACGGGGTTTTGCCATGTTCGCTAGGCTGTTCTCGAACTCTGAAGTGCTAAGGTTACAGGTGCGAGCCACTGCACCAAAGGCCATCTGCTCAGCCACTGCTGGCTCCAGACCAATTCAGCCTTGACTTCATCTTCTGCAGTCAGAGCTGCAGCTGTCGCCTGAAAGCTCTTCTCTTCATCGGTCTCCCTAGGCCCTTGCTGCAAGATGTACAGGATGCAGACTTACAGCGAGGATCTTTCCTCAATTAATAACTCGGCAACTTGAGAACTACAAAAGAAGCCAATCGAACCCAAATTGCCCTTTGCTGTTTCATTTAGTCAAAGTTCTTGAAATTACTTAAACATACTAGGAAGTAACTCCTGTTGTCTTTTTTAACCATTTCACCTTGACCTTCCAATTGCATTATATAGCTAAATTATACCTTCTCTTGCTAGTATTTCTTCCTGAATACATTAAATGTGTGGCTCCCAACCATGTGCAGAGATGCCCCAGGGTGCCGAGCAAACTCACCAGTGCACTGTAGGATGCTTTTAATTTTCAAGAGAAACACAGCGACATCTGCTGGACTCTATGGAAACTACTAGTTCGAGGCAATTCAGTCTCATCATTAGATTGTCCTACAGTCCTTTCAATAACATCACGTCTTTCAAAGCTGGGTTTTGGCTATTCCCATGACGGAAAAGAAAGTATGATGCAAAAATCAACATGCACAGGAAATGAGGTTCGCGATGAGAAATAAGATTCCAAGGCTCGACTAGATGTGTAGAGTCCAACAGCAGCACACACAGTAACACTAAGTCATTGTGGTTATTAACGAATGAATTGGCCAGGCGTGGTGGCTCATGCCTCATGCCTGTAATCCCAGCACTCTGGGAAGCAGAGGCAGGCAGATCACTTGAGGTCAGGTGTTCAAGACTGGCCTGGCCAACGCGGTGAAACCTCGTCTCTACTAAAAATACAAAAAGTAGCCGGGCATGGTGGCAGGCGCCTATAATCTCAGCTACTTGGGAGGCTGAGGCAGGAAAATCACTTGAACCCAAGAGACAGAGGTTGCAGTGAGCTGAGATCACGCCACTGCACTCCAGCCTGGGCAACAGTGAGACTCCGTCTCAAAGAAATAAAAAATAAAAATAAAAACAGAGAATGAATTAAATATTTTTTCAATTTTTGTTTTTCTAAAACAGAAATACATTTCTGAGCAAAATAATTGAAATGACACTTCCAATTCCTCTGTATCTCTGTCATACTATTTTACGGTGATTTTTGGATTAGAAACCATAAAGACACAACAATAAGCTGTCTCACAGGTACAGAAACTCATGTCTCTCGTCAATTTTCACTGCATGAGGTGAGCGAAGAGGTACGAGCACTGGTCCAAAAAGTAAGAGGAGAGATTGGTGGGAGCAGGGAGAGCGTGCTATTTCCCAAACAAATGGACACAATTACAAGGTAATAAAAATTACTCAAGAAAGAATTTCTAATCCAGAATAGACCCTTCCATGGAACTGTTCCTAGAACAGCAAAGGAGGCAAGCTGTCCATATCAGAGTTTCCGACCCACATTAAACAAAGCTCTGTCTGAGGGGTTTGGGGTTCTTCTCCATGTCATTGTTCTTGTCATGCTTTTCTCATAAAAGTAATTCCTCTGTCTCTTCATGTGCAAATGGAAACGCTCTGAGCAGTACTTATTCTATCTAACAAAGAGGAAGAAAGCCTAGATGGCTGGCAGAGGAGCACAGCCCCACGTAAAGATTTCAGCACCTGTCCCTTCTCTGCCCGACGACAATGGAAGAGCAGGCACCGTGAGATCCCGGGCTAACCACCTCCTCCCCATAGCACCACGCAACATCCTAGCTCCTGGCCTGTGGTTCCCCACCACCCAGAGGAGACCTGAACTCAGTCTGAGGAGAGTCTGATGCCGCCATTTCTAACTTAAACAGTATTTGCCCCACTTCTAGGAAATAAACTTATGGGCAGGGCTTTTGACCCTAATAACACCTTAATAAACAGAATGAGATGTTGCCTATTTTAATGCTAGTGATTCTATTTTTACTGCTCTAAACAGGAAAAAGAGGGAGAGAGGGAAAGGGACTGGGAGAAGATGGAAGAAGAGGGCTTTCCTACTATCCTCTTCCGGCTCCAAAAGTTCCCTTTAGTGTCCTCTGGCTCAAGTCAGGGACGCTTCACACACTAACTGCTTCCAGTAGGTTAGGTTGTATTAATATTAAAATCCTACAGACACACCTTTTCTCAAAACACTTCAGTTCCTAAAATTATTTGAAGTCAAAGAGAAAGACAGGCTGGGAGCGGTGGCTCACACCTGTAAATCCCAACACTTTGCAAGTCCAAGGCAGGAGGATCGCTTGAGCCTAAGAATTCGAGACCAGCCTGGGCAACAGAGTGAGTCCCTCTCTCTACAAAAAAAAAAAAAAAAAATTAAATTAACCAGGCGTGGTGGTGTGCATCGGTAGTCCCAGCTACTGGGGAGGCTGAGGCAGCAGGACGGCTTGAGCCTGGGACGTTGAGGCTGGGTGATAGAGTGAGACCCTGACTCAAAAGAAAAAAAAAGAGAGAGGGAGCAACAGATCTATGGACTTGAAGAAAAGGATCTCGCCAATGTTCCTATCATTTTGTCCTAAAATATTTTCATAGAAAATAATTTGACCCCTGTGTTAGACTAAGCAGTATTTACACAGATTTACCATGAACACATGCATTTTTAAGCTTTTAAGAATATGAAAGGGACGATTAAAAGCACTTTCTGATTTCAAAAAATGCATTCTTGCTGGAGTTACCTTTTTCAAAACTTACTTGCAAGGACTTTCACAGCAAAAGCTGTGAGCAACATTCAGCACAAGGACAAGCAAAGCAGCAAAGCAGGGGCACTGACCACGGGCCTTAGTCATGCCTGGGAAGTGGAGGCAGGTAGAGAAAGGGGGCTTACTAGTCCTGTCCGACTGGGCCTGCTGCTCACAGAGGAGGCCACTGAGCTCATGGAGCTGAGAGAAGAGGCAGAAGGGCTGCGCTTCAGGCTGGCGGACGTGGTTGCCATCACTCGCCTCACTGCGTTGGCCTTGGCTTTGGCTGGTGTAGTGGAAGGGAAGCCAATCTTGGTAACTTTGTGGACAGGAGCAAACAAGCCGTATTTGGGTTGACACTGAAAATACCTTTAGAGAACAACAAGAACAGTAACAAAAAAAGACTTAATCACAAGAAATAATAACTATAACCAAAATGCTCTCCCAACTCCTAACTGAAGGCGGGATTCCTGGAAATTCGACCACTAAGCTGGGGTTATACACCAGCATGTAGCAGTCACGTGTATGTAGGCTGACTAACAGCTTCAGTGATGGTTTAGAACACACACTGGTGATGATATGATACACAAAGTCAGGTTTACTCACCTGTTGCTGAGATTCTACATAAAGGAAATAAATATTTCCACAACCTGATAAATGTACAGCAGAGGAGTTTAGCAATAGAGCAAGCCCATTTAATAAAACCGTGCCAAAGGGAAAGGAAATCAACAGGCACCTAACTTTGGCAGATCCATTAAAGTAAACATGAAGAGCTGTGCGTGGTGGCTCACGCCTGTAATCCCAGCACTTTGGGAGGCCGAGGTGGGCAGATCACGAGGTCAGAAGATCGAGACTATCCTGTCCAACACGGTGAAACCCAGACTCTACTAAAAATACAAAAATTAGCTGGGCGTGGTGGTGCATGCCTGTAATCCCAGCTACTCAAGAGACTGAGGCAGGAACCTGAGAGTCACAGGTTGTGGTGAGCCCAGATTGCGCCACTGCACTCCAGCCTGACAACAGAGTGAGACTCTGTCTCAAAAAAAAAAAAAAAAAAAAAAAAGATTCATTGAAAATTTGTAATGTTTGTTTCAATAAAAATATGCAAAAAAGGGCCGGGCGCGGTGGCTCAAGCCTGTAATCCCAGCACTTTGGGAGGCCGAGACGGGCGGATCACGAGGTCAGGAGATCGAGACCATCCTGGCTAACCCGGTGAAACCCCGTCTCTACTAAAAAATACAAAACACTAGCCGGGCGAGGTGGCGGGCGCCTGTAGTCCCAGTTACTTGGGAGGCTGAGGCAGGAGAATGGCGTAAACCCGGGAGGCGGAGCTTGCAGTGAGCTGAGATCCGGCCACTGCACTCCAGGCTGGGCGACAAAGCAAGACTCTGTCTCAACAAAAAAAAAAAAAAAAAAATGCAAAAAAAAAATAAAAAAGATAAAGTATTCTGCAAGTATAGCATTGAGAAGACCCAGAAAAAAGAAAACGGCATTGAAGAAAAAGAAAAAAAAAAGTAAACATGGAGAAATATTAACTAGTAATGTCTGTTTTCGGACTGACATGGGCAATGTCATGACTCTAAAGGATTACAATGCTTTAGTATTAAGAAAAGATGGCTTCGTAATCATTGCAGTTCCAAGAGATCTTTATCTCCATAAGTCATAATTACTGTATGTGGTAGATAAAGCCCTTTTCTCTATAATTAATTTGCTTATAACCAATTTGTCTATGTTTTATAAGTAAAATGTTAACTACCACATTTTACTAATCAAGTGATTCACTAGTGTACTATATACTACTAATAATGCATCACAGACAACACCTGTGCCTTCAAAACATTTTGAAGAGAAGAGTGGAAATTCCTTCTGCATCTGTGTGCATTACTGTACTCCCACCTGTGTCTGCCAGGCAAGAACGGGGTTATCCAGGCCGGACGCAGTGGCTCACACCTGTAATACCAGCACTTTGGGAGACCAAGGCAGGCGGATCACCTGTGCCCAGGAGCTTAAGACCAGCCTGGGCAACAGCCCATCTCTACTAAAAATACAAAATTTAGCCAGGCATGGTGGCGCACGCCTGTAATCCCAGCTACTTGGGAGGCTGAGACAGGAGAATTGCTTGAACCCAGGAGGCGGAGGTTGCATGCAGTGAACCAACATGGCGCCACTGTACTCCAGCCCGGGCAAGAGAGGGAGGCCCTGTCTCAAAAAAAAAACAAAAAAAACAAAAAAAAAAAAACAAAAAACCAGAACGGGGTTATCCTTACAATGGAAGAAGTCCACTTGCTGGTCTGTTCTCCTGCCGCAGGATGTAATTCTCATCAAATATGAAGACACGTTTTGCAGTTCTTTTCCCTAACAAAGGTGGCTACCTTCTACCCCCACCCACACCCCAGATGCCCAGGTACTCTTTCAGAAGTCAACTCCTATTAAAAGGGACAGAAGCCAGACAGATAACACCGTATTTGCTTTCTATTTTGAAAAATAAACAGAATGCTTGTTGAGAATCTACTGTCATGTATTATTACGGAGACAGTCAGAAGAACAGCCCCAGTTTTAGTGTGGGGAAAACAAATCAGCGGTTGGGTCTCAGGAAATAAAAGTGCCACTCTTCCGAACACACCTTTCCATGTTATGATACACACTTGGCGAGACTGGCTTGAGCATCGTCACGTACAAGAGTGACACAAGATGTTGCACAACGCCAAACCAACCTTGTTCCAGCAACAGCGCCATCGTTCTTCCCAAGCGGCTCGTCTAACTCCACACCACACCATTCCCCCTTGGCAAAGTCCGTCTCGCCAAGAAACCGGACTACACCAGCCTTAGTGCCACCAACCTGGAAGAAGAGAAGGTTAAAATCAAGAGATGAACGTTACTCTATAGCTTAATCATTTGTGGTTCCAACTAGTAACTAGGTACTACATTCCACCATTTCCACCAGCAACTTCTTTGCTTTAGCTTCTCTTTGACTCTAACAGTTCTCTTGAAGGAAGTCTGGCAAAGAAACTTACCTGACTTATATTACCAGAGTGATTTGATGCCTAATATGTTGTAATAATGAGATAGCCAATCTAATATGTAGATATTAAGGCTGTTCACCAAGTTCATTATTCCTTGTCTTAGAAAACACTTTATTTATTTATTTATTTATTTTGAGACAGGGTCTCACTCTGTTGTCCAGGCTAGAGTGCAGTGGCACGATCATGGCTCACTGCAACCTTGACCTCCCGGGCTCAGGGGATCTCCCCACCTCAGCCTCCTGGGTAGCTGAAACTACAGGTGCACACCACCAAACAGGCTAATTTTTTTGTATTTTTTGTGGAGACAGGGTTTCGCCATATTGCCCAGGCTGGTCTTGAACTCCTGGGCTCAAGTGATCTGCCTACCTCAGCTTCCCAAAGTGTTGGGATTACAGGCGTGAGCCACCACTCTTGGACCTTATTTTATTTTTCTAACAGAAATGCTTCTGCTTCAAAACAAACTTGTGGCTGGGCACAGTGGTTCGTGCCTGTAATCTCAGCACTTTGGGAGACCCAGGCAGGAGAACTGCTTGAGCCCAGGAGTTCGAGACCAGCCTGGACAACATAAGGAAGACCTTGTCTCTACAAACAATAAAAAAAATTAGCCGGGCACAGTGGTGTGCGCCTGTGGTTCCAGCTACTCAGGACGCTGAGGTGGGAGGACTGCTTGAGCCCAGGGGTTTGAGGCTGCAGTGAGCCGCAATTGTACCACTGCACTCCAGCCTGGGCGACAGAGTGAGACTCCACCTCAAAAAAATAAAAAAGTAAATAGGCCAGGCACGATGGCTCACGCCTCCCAGCACTTTGGGAGGCCGAGGTGGGTGGATCACTTGAAGTCGGGAGTTTGAGAGCAGCCTGGCCAACATGGTAAAACCTTGTCTCTACTAAAACTACAAAAATCAGCTGGGTGTGGTGGCTCACGCCTATAGTCCCAGCTACTTGGGAGGCTGAGGCACAAGAATAACTTGAACCAGGGGCGGAGGTTGCAGTGAGCCAAGATCACATCACTGCACTCCAGCCTGGGCGACAGGGCAAGACTCTGTCTCAAAAAAAAAAAAAAAAAAAAAAAAGGACTTCAAAAACTAATTGGCTCGGTGTGGAAGTTCATGCCTATAATCCCAGCACTTTGGGAGGCTGAGGTGGGAGGATCATCGGCGTCCCCAAGGCTGCAATGAGCCATGATCACACCACTGCACTACAGCCTGGGCAACAGAACAAGAAACTGTTTCAAAAAATAATAATAATTGACTCTTGCTATTTTCCACAGTGAGGCTCTCTGTTTCTTCACAACTATTAAAATTATCATTCCTATGCTGGGTACAGTGGCTCAGGTCTGTAATCCCAACACTTTGGGAGGCCAAAGCAGGTGGATCACTTGAGGCCAGGAGTTCGAGACCAGCCTGACCAACATGGTGAAACTCCGTCTCTGCTAAAAATACAAAAATTAGCTGGATGTGGTAGCACACGCCTATAATCCCAGCTACTCAGGTGGCTGAGGCATGAGAATTGCCTGAACCTGGGAGGAGGAGGTTGCAGTGAGCCAAGACTGTGCCACTGTACTCCAGCCTGGGTGACACCGTGAGACTTTGTCTCAAAAAAAAAAAAAAAAAAAAAGAGTACTAGTTCTAGACTTGACACATTTGATCTTTTAATAATTTCGTTAGTTAGTACCAATACACAAATCGTCACCTATATAAAATTGGCCTTACTGCAGTTGAGTCAAAAGAAAGTAAAGAAAGTTGGCCTGAATTTTCTCCTTCCTCCCACACCACACCATTCAGAGCAGCAGTCCAGCCAGCGTCATGTGAGCACGACACAGCACATTGGTTAAAGATGATGTAGCCTCTTCAGATAACGTGTTAAATTCTTTGGGGGTGAGTCGAAGTTACTGTCATGACAATTGTTTTTCCAAGAGACATCTAACAGGCTATAGTCAGTAATTCTCCAAGCAAACTACAAGCTTCATTCAGATCAGCTTTGTAAAAAGTAATCACAAATAACAAATTAGCAACTATTTCTCTAAATGCAGAAGAAAAATCTGTATGTATCCTGAAAAAAAATCATGTCACAAAGTTTGTCTGAAATGAATGATTACTAGTTCCTAGAACAGAAAGGTTTTTAATATTTTTTCTCCCACCAAACGTGGAACTCTTCACTCATATAACATAAAATGTATTTTTCATTTCCCTGTAAAAAATCAGTAATTATTCTATAGAGACAGAAAGTCACATGAAGTCCTAAAATCATCAAATGTTTTTCTACTTAATCATTCTACAATCAAAAAACATGTTTATGCATTTAAACAGGACTTTACAAAGTTAGGTTTTATTTCTCATGTGTTCCAGACAATGCAGAAAAGTCTAGTACATGCACGTACAGGAAACAGAAGCATTAAATAATGCATTGACAATAAATAGAAGCCACTATGATCAAATCATATCTAAGAAATCTATGTTCTAAGACAAATATCTAAGTGATTAAAGAAAAACATTTTTAATATTGAAACAAAAAACAAGGCCAGGTGCAGTGGCTCATGCCTGTAATCCCACCATTTTGGGAGGCCAAGGCAAGAGGATCATTTGAGGCCAGGAGTTTGAGACTGGCCTGGGCAACACAGTGAGACCCCATCTCTACAAAAATTTAAAAATTAGCCAGGCATGGTGGCATGAGCCTGTGATCCCAGCTACTCAGGCTGCAAGTGAGCTATGATCATGACACTGCACTCTAGCCTGAACAAGACAGTGAGACCCTGTCTCAAAAACAAACAAAGAAACTAAAAGATAGATTCCCATGGCAAACACAAACAAATAATTCATTCTCTTTACTCTCAGAATGTTAGCATATAACTCCTAACACTGTGGTAAAAGTCACTATTAAAGACAGAATTAATTTAAACTAGAAACTCAAAAAAAAAAAAAAAAAACCCTAGCTACTATTTTTATGCTTTAGCAAACCTCAGATTTTTAAGTTATCATTCATTTATTCAATATGTATTTCTTGAGTGTTTGGATCCTTGAAAAACAAAGATAAACAGAATACAGCGTTGGCCACTAAGGGAGACAGACAAGAATATTTAGACAAGAAATTCCTGTAAAAAGTGTGAAGTGCATCCAGAGGTTTCTACAAAATGCTGTGGGAACAGAAACAAATATCCTTCCTGTAAGCTCCTGTGAAAAATAAAAACACTGATAAATTCCTGCTGGGTTAATGAGTGGGTCTACAAACAGGAAACAGAAACAATCCTCTCTGGACTCTCATCTCTTCATTATCCAGTTCTCAGCAAGCCATTTAATCTCACAGTGCCTGAGTACATAAAGCTATAAAACGAGAGGGGTTGTTTCACAGGAATTTTGTAAGCAGTCTTATAAGGTGGCTTCTTATCTGCCATATTCCAAGATAAACGGCTTATTTTAAAAAGTAAACATGGGGGCCGGGCACGGTGACTCACACCTGTAATCCCAGCACTTTGGGAGGCCGAGGCGGGCAGATCACTTGAGGTCAGGAGTTTGAGACCAGCCTGGCCAACATGGTGAAACTCTCTCTCTACTAAAAATACAAAAATTAGTCAGGCGTGGTGGCAGGTGCCTGCAATCCCAGCTACTTGGGAGGCTGAGGCGGGAACATCATTTCGACCCTGGAGATGGAGGTCGCAGAGACCCAAGATCACACCACTGCATTTCAATTAAAAAAATAAAATAAATCAACATGGTTAGCTAGTATTTGCCAAATACAAATGTAGGCCTCACTTAAAACTTAATTGCCTGTGACATGAAAGAGCCAAAGCACTGGTACTTTTTTTTTTTTTTTTTTTTTTTTGAGACGGAGTTTCGCTTTGTCATCCAGGCTGGAGTCAAGTGGCATGATCTCAGCTCACTGCAACCTCCGCCTCCCGGGTTCCAGAGAGTTTCCTGCCTCAGCCTCCCGAGCAGTTGGGATTACAGGCGCCCGCCACCACACTCAGCTAATATTTTTGTATTTTTAGTGGAGACGAGGTTTCACCATGTTGGCCAGGCTGGTCTCAAACTCTTGATCTCAACTGATTGCACCCACCTTGACCTCCCAAAATGCTAGGATCACAGACGTGAGCCACCAAGTCTGGCCACTTTTGATTACCTCAAGTAATATAATTCTCTCCAGTGAAGGGCCAGTTGACCTTCCAGCAGCTCCCCTACAGAGAAGGGTAAAATCTTCACTGGTTCTAAGTTGACCTCTGCATGTCATACTTTACTCTCCCCTTCATGGGTATAAAGTTACGACTGTATTCAAAACCCTCTGATTCTCTCCACACTATTTAATGAGCTCCTACTATGCGCCAGGCACTGTCCTAAGCGTTGTGTGTGTGACAGTGAATGAGACAGAAAGTTTCTGTGCTTTCACGGAGGTTAAATTCTGGTCAGGGAGAAATGGACAATAAACAAGTAAAAAAATGAAAGCCAATTTCAACTAGTGAAGAGTGCTATGAAAAAAATAAAACAGGGTAGTGTGATGCTGCTATAGAAGGTGTCTTTAGTTGGGGTAGCCAAGGAAGGGATGCCTGAGGAGGTAACATTTGAGCCACGACTTGAGTGACCAAGCGGCACCGGGGACAAAACATCCCAAGCAGAAGAAACAACAAATTCTGAAGTGGGAATGAGTCTGGGAGTTCAGAAACAGCAAAGGGGGCCGGGCACGGTGGCTCACGCCTGTCATTCCAGCACTTTGGGAGGCCAAGGCAGACAGATCATTTGAGGACAGGAATTTGAGACCAGACTGGGCAACATGGCGAAACCCTGTCTCTACTAAAAATACAAAACTCAGCCAGCTGTAGTGGCTCACA